CGGCCGGCCAGATCATCGCCGGCCGCCTCCAGCAGCGCCGCCAGCTCCGCCTGCCGCGCCAGCAGGCGCGACCGCAGCGCCGCGTGCTGCGCCGTCAGCTCAGTGTGCACGTCGAGCAGCGCCGCCTCGAATTCGACGTCCTGCGCGGACAGCCGCGCCTGCACGGCCGCCAGCCGGTCGGACAGGCCCGCGCTCTGAGCCGCCAACTCGTACTGCCCGTCGATCAGCTGCATGGTGAGCTCGGCGCTGTCCGCCAGCTTGGTCTGCAGGCCGTCCAGCCGCGCCGCCAGATGGCCGACGGCTCGCCTGGCGGCCGGCGCGGCGCCGCCGCCGCCGCACCGCGCCGCCAGGCACAGCGCCACCAGCAGGCACGCCGCCGCGCCGCCGCGGCCGAACAAACGCGGCATCGCGCGCGAGGACGGACCAGCAGCAGTCGGCGCCGCCGCAGCTGCCCGGCACGCTGGCCCCGCGGCGCGCCGGCCGAGTTTATGTACCCGGGCACGACGACCGCGGCCCGACCGCTGCCAGGGGCGTGACCAGGACGAGTGCCGAGGGGCACGCGGCTCTTTTTCGGTTTTGTTTACGTGGCCGCAACCTGGCGATTTTCCGTCTCCGGGGAGACAGCGCACGCTCGACCTCAGCCCCAGTGCACTCGCCGTTTCCGGCGTCCTGTTCGCGCGCTCTACTGCGCCGCCTGGAGACTGGCGGCGTGCAGTGCCGCACATGGCCAACGTGCAGCGGCCCTCGCCCCTTGCGCGAGAGCTTACAGACCATGCCAGCGCTTCCAACTCTGATAGCCCGGTCCCGTATGACGAGTGCCGCAATCTTCTAGGCGGCTGCCACGACTTATGCCGCGGCGGATTCGCTAGGTATTTCACGTACTATGTCATGATGTTGCAAGCAGTCGATATTTTATCTCCAAATGGCTAAGTGAACGCAAATATTTAAACGCAGTGATAAACGTTGCATGCTCGAATTCCATCGCAGAGGAATATCTCTCCAGTGCCCCTTACAGAGGTTGGAACACATAAACACTGACCAAAAACAGTTCGCTGCGCCGAGGACTACTCCACAGAACTGGACCCACCAAAGACATGGCCCGTTTGTATTTGTTCCAGGAGGCAAAATTACTTTTGAATGGCAGTTAGCCATGTTCAACGGACACAAAGCAGCGGAACTATGACCACCTTTGCACTTATTTGTTCTGTTGACCTTACCGTAGCCTTATGGCCTAAAGTAAAGCCACAGTTCCTACCACGCCCATTATGCACGCGTCCATGATTGCCAGCCGTGATTCGTCGCCGCACGCGACCGACGGCAGGTTCAAACCAGTTCCCCGCTTATCAAGATCTAATTCCCAGCTCGGCAAACTCAAGAAACAATCGATAACCCCGTCAAACTCACCCACGGGACCAAAGGTGTATGTCACGTGACCGATGACGTCACAGAAAACGCAGCACAACTCAGCAGCTGACAGCGTTTTCGCACGAGTTCAGAGCTCCCTCAGATCCGTACTTATGATTGCACAGAGCTCCTACAGAGGCCAAACAAAGCAGCGCGTTCGTACGCTTCAGCACAGCATCGGGACGTTGGCGGAGGCCGAATGCCATTGCAAGGGGTCGGGTTAAGGTAAAGTCCAGGTTAGGTCATCATTCGAAGTTCGTTCTGTTCTTCCGACCCGCCTGACCTCTTGTCATCGATAGTTTGAAAATGTGTAATTTATACAGAATTGTTTATCACGAACGGGCGCTACAAATAGTTGGTTAAACACATAAGTTAACCTCAAACGCACCATACCAACCCTTCTGATGACCTGGTGTGAACTCACATAGCAGAACCAATCCAGACCAGCACATAGTGAAACCAGGCATGAAACGTCAAATGATTATAAACAAGAGGGAAAAACGACACGTAAGAAAAGGCATAGCTTGAAACCTCCAAAAAAACGTCCTAATTCTGTGCCTTACCTAAAATCAAAATGCCCCACCCCAGAATGTGTTCAGTCATCACCTGGCAGGTAATTCAGATGTTCCTGAACCTAGCTGGAACGGTTCAAATGTTAGCGAAACAAGCCGGAGCGGATGTCGGTCTACAAACTCAGAAAGTAGGTTAATTTTAAACCCCGTAGAGGTCGCCGGTTTACATCCAAAAGCCGGAGCAGATGGTGGTCTACAAGCTCAGAAAATAGGCTACCTTTAAACCCCGCAAAGGTCGCCGGTTAACATCCAAAAGCCGGAGCGGATGTTGGTCTACAAACTCAGAAAGTACTTCACTTTTAAACCCCGCAGAGGTCGCCGGTTAACATCCAAAAGTCCAATCAGTCTGAACAGCAGACAGAGGATCTACAACTTCTTAAACGAAGGACCGAAATTGTGTATTTGGTTGGCCGAACATCATCCACCATTTACGGCATTTTGCTAGTGTGACTCCATCCATTATCGTCAACTACCATGCCCGGGGAATCCCATTTGCACGATCAAATAAGGTGACCTCCAGCTTGCCAGTCATTCCAACCATTCGCAAATGCACATACCAGATGATAACCATGCGCTACAACTAGCCTTCTGACTGACCTGGCGTTATGGAGGGTCGCGCCTGACAGGCGGAGAAGGCCCGCCGGTCTTGCTGGCCACAGTCCGGGTCACAGCAGCAGTCCACGTCACAATCGGCCACCTGCGGCACACGTCGCACTGTGCTAAAACCCACCACGCGTCACACTCGGCCACCGGCGTAACACATCACACTCGGCCACCTGCGGCACACGTCACACTGTCCCAAAACCCACCACACGTCACACTCGGCCACCTGCGGCACACGTCACACTGTGCCAAAACCCACACGTCACACTTGGCCACCGGTGTAACACGTCACACTTGGCTACCAGCCGAGCTCGCCACACGCCACACTCGGCCACCAGCGGCACACGTCACACTGTCCCAAAACCCACCACATGTCACACTCGGCCACCAGCGGCACACGTCGCACTGTGTCAAAACCCACATGTCACACTTGGCCACCTGCGGCACACGTCACACTGTGCCAAAACCCACCGCATGTCACACTCGGCCACCTGCGGCACACGTCAAACGGTGCCAAAACCCACCACACGTCACACTCGGCCACTGGCGTAACACGCCACACTGTGCCAAAACCCACCACATGTCACACTCGGCCACCTGCGGCTCACACCACACTGCCAAAACCCACCACGTGTCACACTCGGCCGCTGGCGTAACACGCCACACTGTGCCAAAACCCACCACACGTCACACTTGGCCATCAGCCAAGCTCGCCACACGGCGCCACCATCGGAAACGTCACAGTTCACACTCCGCCATCGGAAGGACACGATACACGGGGCATTTGGCACCCATCGGCAAGCGTCACACTAAATGCAGGTTATGCTTTGGCGAATCTGGTGCATGCACACGTTGTATTCGCAGAGAACTGGACGACACAGAATCTTGACGCCATATATGACGCGGAGATCCGGACAACACAGCATCTATGCCCTTGACGCCATATATGACGTCATGCCTACAGGTTCTCCGCCTGTTGGTGTTAGATTCTACGCCTATGAGACATCACGTATAATTTTTGCCGGGAGCACATGATCTCTTTCTGTTATTCTATCAAAGTTAAACGGAAATAGCGCAATAGGGTCAACGATAAACATTGGATTTATGTGCTTAGAACCGGCAACGGGTGATGAAAAGGCGTCTTGTGCGCACAAGCACCATAATTAACAGTTCCCACTGTAAGGAGCGCGCGTAGGACGTGCGACTGTAGTTGCTAGTGTCTCACATGCACAGCTGCTGTCACAAAAGTTACAAAGGTGTAAACAAAACAAAAAACATATCGCGCTGCGAAGACGTCCGGAATATTGTACGTGACGTCACAGAATAAAACATTGCTACAACAATAAAACAAACACCCAGTCTCACTTGGGTTAAGCGTGGAAGTGACATGTGTATGTGTGCACCATATGTGCACGTCGCACATCTAGGGGCAATCTGCCAATAACATTGCTGTTATTGCAGCTATTGTGTGACATAGGTTTACTGCAACAGCATAGTCACATTAAACAAGATTGATACACAGTGGGTCAGTCCGGATCGGCCATTGCGAAGTCAGCTGCAAACAGCTGCAAGGCATCACAGCCCACAAAAGTCAAAGCGGTAGATATTAGTCACATGATAAGCGAAAGATAGTGATCATAAATAACACTTCATTTGTAGGACCCCAAATCGAAATGTTGGGAGTACAGGAAAGAGCTTGGATTTACATGATGGCAAAAAGAGGAAAACTGGTCCAAAGTGAACAGCAGTTTAATGTCCTGGACATCAGCTCCGTGTCTTAGTGAAGCAAAAATATTCTTACTACCTTACTGACAAGTGCAAACTGACCAATCAAGCCATGACTCACTTAGCTCCCTATTGATGGGAGGAACTGTAGAAACCAATCTATACCTGCTATCCACAGCAAGGCAGTGAAGCGCACCGCAGCACGCGAGAGGTTGCCTGGCAGCCGAAGCTCACCGTTAGGTCGCAAGTGCAGTAGTCGGTGCGCCAGTCGAGGGCCTCGTCGTCTGTCTGCGGCGCCTCCCCGCCGGCCGGCTGCTGGGTGGCCGGCGGCTCCGTCCCCGCATCGCCAGAGCTCCGATCCGCCGGCAGCGGGCCGGTGGCGTCCGAGCCCTCCGGCGGTGTCGTGGAGCCGGCGTCCCCGTCCGGCGTCCGCTCCGCCTCGTCGCCGCCGCGCTGCGGTGGCGCGGCGCCGTCTCCGCTGGCATCCCCGTCCGGCGCTCGCCCCGCCTCGTCGCCGCCGCGCTGTGGTGACGCGGCGCCGTCTCTGCTGGCGTCCCCGTCCGGCGTCCGCCCCGCCTCGTCGCTGCCGCGCTGTGGTGGCGCGGCGCCGTCTCCTCTGGCGTCCCCGTCCGGCGTCCGCCCCGCCTCGTCGCCGCCGCGCTGTGGTGACGCGGCGCCGTCTCCGCCGGCGTCCGCGGTCGGCTCGGTGGCGACGCCGGCCGTGGTGCCCGGCTCCTGCTCGGCGGGAGTGACTGGGCCGTCCCCGCCGGAGGCGTCTCGCTCGCCCGCGCCGGACGCATCCAGGTCACCGGCGTCAGCCGGAGCGCTCTGGGCCGCGCGCTTCGCCGTCGCGTTGCTGGCGCCCTCTTTGAACAGGGCCGAGGCGGCAGTAGCCCCACCTGCCGGAGCGACCGTAGCGCCACCTAGACCAGAAGTGGTGGTGCAGTCGCCGAGCGCGCACGGGTCCGCCTCTGTGGCGAGATTGGCGTCGGCGGTGGCCAGGCAGCCCAGCAGCAGCAAGAGGCGGCAGACGGGCGACATGGTGACGTCACGGCGCGTCCTCCGCCGGCCGGGTCAGTACTCAATGCCGTACTGCTCGAAATTGCGCAGGATGACGTTCATCTGGACGTGGACCTGAAGCATTGTACGTTTCAATGCAATGCACCACACTAACGGGAGTGACAAATGACGATGAAATGCTGTATGGCGCACACTTCTAGATATATTATAGCACTGCAACACGCGACTGGAAAGCTCCGCCTTCCCCATGCATACAAAACAGCGCCGTCAGAATTTGTCCAAAGCCGGCATATCCCTATCAAACATAACCAACCTACCCAAAGCATTACCAAATCATTGGTCACACCCATGCACGATCCATGGCAAGCCTTATCAACAACACTTAACACGCTAAATTTAGAAGCATGGCTGCCAGCATGAATGGCAAATGGGTCCACGGCCAAGGCCGACGCCTGCTCGCGCGCGCCGGCCCGGCCCGGGCTGGCGGCGGCCCGGCGAGGAGCGGGCCGACCGGTCACTGACCGTGCCCATGGCGACCGTCTGCAGCCGGTAGCGATCCAACGGCGTGTAGACGAGCTCGGGGGAGCGCAGCTGAGGCCCACCGCCCACAAACTGCTGCCGAAACTCGTCCCGCAGACTGCCTGGCGATCGGCCGGGGCGAGCCGCGAGGTCAGGGCGGCGGTCATGAGTGGGGGGGAGCAGAGGTCAGGGCAGGGTCAAAGGTGAGGTAATGACCAGGGTCAGGGCACAGGTCGCCACGCAGATAAGGGTGAGGGCCACAATGGAGGTACAGGGGTTACGGCCAGTGGAGCCGTCACACGGCAATTATGGCAGAGATATAGGTAGTCTCTCATCACAGAAGACAGCACTACATAGATAGTGTTACATGGTCCACACACAGTAAGACAGCAGGTGGCCACCGGGGTGGGCGCGCGGGTTACCAGTCGGTCTCCACGTGACGCAGTCGATCCTGTGCGCGCCGGGGGTCGCCGGCAGGTTGCAAAAGCCGTAGCCACAGAGATCAGTGCGCCCAAAGCTGTCCAGTGAGTACACCTGGACCACCAGCTTTGGCCAGCCTGTGGATAAAGGCCTATTAGTTGTTGACCTCTGTCGAGCATTACCTGCCAACCATATCCATTTACAAAAGATTGTTCCAGCGCTTAACCCTTGAACCACCGCATGCACTCAGAAGTGGAACATGAACCCAGATGATTGCACACAGCATGCAGCCATGCCTCTACTGGCTGCACCAGCAATCAGGAGCTGCCACTGACCAGTGATGCCCTTGACAGTGTAGTGGACGTCGATGGGGTGTGCCCAGATGGCTGTGTCACCCAGCAGTGGGTTGTCCACCTGGGTCTGGCCCTCCTTCAGGCCCTCCAGGTGGTGCCAGGCACCCCCTGCCAAGACGTCAGGGCCGTCAGTTGGACACAGACGCAGACAGCATGGCATAGGGCCTCGCTGGAAAACATCGCAGCAGCTGTCACCTGCTGCCCTGACACCACAGCTGTACAAACAGCAGGCGGTGACCAGCATGACATGGCACAGACTGGCATGACAAACAGGCTAATGGGATATGTGAACATGCATGGGTGCATCTTGGCTTCTCTTTGAGAGTAAACTGGCCTCAAATATTTGTCTAGGGCTTTGTACAGTTTGCTATCCAAGCAAAGAAACTTCCTAGAAGGCACTGTGATATAGGCAACAGCACATGCTGACATCCAGTTGTGTGGAAACCATATGCCCACATGTCTTTAAAGAGAATGAATTCCAGACCAAAATGGACTCTTTCAGAGACTGCAATCAGCATTGAGCAATGCCTCCCAGCTATAGAGTACCGCATGAGATGAAAGGAAGGCTCACTAACACCCACAGAAAACTTGGGCCATTAAACAGTAAGATATTTTTGTAATTAAATAGCTACCAAATGAACAAAATATAAGGATATTGTGAAGCATTCTGAAGGTGACTCCAAAGAAAATGACAGTCAACTGTGCATCATGCAATTCAATGCATTACTAATGCCCTTTTATTAATAGAGCTCTTGCACACATATCAATATAATGTGCAAGCATCCTGCTGTTTACCTGTATGTATGTTCCACCTGCAGAAAAGCTGTGTGCTTGGAAATCCAGAGCCACCTAAAAGCTGTCCTATCAGATGAACCTCTGCCTGGACAGAATCTCTTGCTCCCACCTAAAAATTATAAAAGTGCCATGATCACAGGCATAACACACACCACCATCTGTCAAATCAACATTACTGTAACATATGTAAAAATTCACTTAAACTTGGTTATTCTTGACCAATCAATATATGCCTCATGATATTTGATGATCATCATTTTGGTCTAAGACAACAGCTGGTGGCATGGAGCATTTAAATGCAATATTACAGGTACCCAAAGATTATAGGTGTTCCGAATCTCTATGGCAGCATGCTCATATTATCTACATTATCAAACATAAGAATTGATAGAAATTGATTAATATGAGATATTTAACATGCTTGCATTAATCACTTATCATATGTTACATCATGCTATCTCACTTACCATGAGAAATCTCAGCTTATTTGGCTTTTATTAAACATTGCACAATTACCTGAAAAACAAAAAAATCAGGTCGTCACTTTAACCTGCCACTTGAAGAAAGTGCTCTGCACATACTGGGAAATTCTTTTGGATGGCATTTGGGATTGATGCTAGCAACCTCACATTTCAGGCATTCTTAATGGTTCTTTGAACACTTTCTTATGAGAGGCACTTACATTATTTAGATGGTTACATAGCACAAGAGAGAGCTGGTATTTCATGCATATGCAAAAAGGTAGGATATCATCAGTTACTTAACATTTGCTTAAAATAATGGTGGTGTTTCTCAGGCTTTAGGGATATATCATGCAAATGGAATTTAAATTGATGAGGGACACCTTCAGTGACTGGTTTTCCCAGATTATTAATTCTCATGTTGAGCAATATCAGATACACTGCAGGAAGAGGAACTGGTGGTCCTCCATACCCACCATGGTCCCTGTTCATCAGCTATAAGTTTGCTTAGCCAGTAACTTTCGGTGCAGGAAAAGTTGTGTATCATAAGCAGAACACTCATAATTGAGCTTGAAATTTATTATAATAGATAAGCTAGTCTAAAACTAGGCCCTATTCAACCATAACATTTGACCACCTGGGACTAATTGGCAGCTTGTGTTTGCTAAGGTATATGGGAAGTGCCTCGCAAAGCCCGCGCTTTTCCTGAATTATGGAGTTTGTTACTGGGCATCCATTGATATGAGGTTTTTGATAATGATGATGATGATGATTTGGGCTTTGGGGCGCACCGACTACGTTGGTCATATGGCGCCCGTGTGAGGTTTCTGCAAAAGGTCCGACGTTACTATAGTCCAGTCTAATACGTCTAATTTTGTGCATACCTGTGCAAAACCGAGCTACAGCCAGCGCTAATCTGGCCGAATCCTTCGTAAACACCCGCGTAATCTTACACAATATACCACAATTGGCACCCTGCCCGAAACACCACACCAGCACCCCTACATCACGTCTTACGCTGCCGCAATGTTTATATTTTGAATACTGGAATGACGAAGACGTGATATGGTAGCTTTAGACGGTAAAAAGCCGCAACTAAAATAATGATTGTGCGCGGAGTTGCTGTATGAACCTGTCAAATTCTAACAAAAATGTGAAAAAATGGTCAAATAAGGCCTAGTCCGGATTGAATTTTAACGTATACACATTTTAAATTATGCTATGATATAACAGTCTGGCTTGTACTCATATCTCACTCTACCATAAAAAATGGGTTTGACCTTTAGCAAAGCAGTAATTTCGGAAGTGATCAGACCGTTGTCAGAGTCATAAGTTGCCATTTAAGATAATTACTGAAGTAAGCATAAATTGTTAGATGTTAGGTATTGAATCAGGCCAAAGGATGGAGTTGTAAATGGGATGGGATACAAACCATACCACAAATATTACAAAAGGCCAATGACGTCATTTAAATAGACCATAAGTGCTACCAAACTATCCAAATATCCCAACAGCCATTACCAAATTCCCTGTCCTTGATGAGTGGATCTCAGGTCTCCCTTGTGTTTTGTTGTTCTCGGGCAGCGGAGGTGCGGGAGGTGGCGTAGTCGCCAGCTGCGCGTCGAAGAGGGTCTGCCTGCCAGCGCAGAGCGAGAGCAGCCGGATCTAGGCCGACATCTGACCGCACTGTTCGTTCCCAGCTGGCTGGGGCGCTGCATACTGGGGCAAGATGTCGAATCTTCCGTGTGGAATGCTGCTTTTGGAGAAAATGGGATGGCTTCCCAGGCCCTATAGCACCATGAGAAACGCTAGGTAAGTGAAGGTCTTTAAATGTCTTGCCTTTGGATGCTGAAAAATTCAGTTTTTGATTTTAAAAAAAGAAGTGGACCACCTCAAATGTAAGCTGTCATGTCAGATTTTTGTTTCTTAACGGTTTGCGAGTATAACCTGTTTTTTATGACTGTGTTTGTGTTTTGCTTGCGTGTGCTTCCTTGCTTGCATCTGGTGTAGTTCATGCCGGCCTCATGCCAGGCATGACATGCCCTCATACGCCTTATTTGGGGGGCGCTCTTTCAGCTTCAAGTGGCTGGTGTTCGTGCTGACCTTCCTGACGTACACGTCCTACCATGCCTCCCGCAAGCCTATCTCAGTAGTGAAGAACGTGCTCAACATGAACTGCACCGCCAAAGACCCGGCATACTACATCAACACTACGGCACATCCTCACTGGTGCGACTGGAAACCATTCGGTGCGTAAACCCTGCCGTCCGAATACGGCGTCACTCGACCATTGCTGAGCGATGTGTCCGGGTTCGGGTCGAAACAGCCCCGCTCCAGCCGCTGTAGCCAGTCTCTGTGCTGTGGAGGGCTGATGACAGCCGCCCCGCGCTTCCCACGTGAGCGGGCTGGTGTTTGCCAGGAGCTGCGTGCCTGGCCGCCGCGGCGTTTGATGGGACCCCGAGCTTCGGGCCCCCAGCTCCGCTCGGTCGGGCGCCAGGTGTCCCGCGGCCGCTCGCCGGGGCGACCGGCGCGGACCAGCACGACCCCGCGTCGGCCGGCGGCCCTCGCGAAGCGCGGCGCGTGGCGACGAGCTCGCCCCGTCACTGCCCCCGGGACGGGCCCAGCGCTGGGCCGCTGGGTGACCAGCGGTCAAGCCGGATGACCAGCCCTCGCCGCCGGCGTTCACGGAGAGCGTGTGTGACCCTCCGCAGCGTGACCTCGCAGGGCGCGCCCAGGCTGTCGATAGTCACGCGGCGCTGGTTCCATAGAGACGAAAGGATTAAGGACCTTAGATTGACCATCTGCTAGAACACTTGACATGAACACTGAACACTTGACTAGAACACAAATGATGAACGCCAAAAGCCGGCCGTATGGGGCTAAAAGGGGGTAGTCGCGCCCGTCAATTTTTGGAAATTTACATTAACTTTATGGCGCTACGTGAAGAGACATGTAAAATTCGTAGTTATTCCGCGTGTTTTTTTTCTGGGATGGTCCGCCCTGATTGCAACAAACCAGTCAATCATGATTGGGATATAACGGATTAAAGCACCGTCAGGCACATTTTTATCGCGAATGCCTCGCTCACCCGAACACGACGTGCTGTTTTTCAGATGGCGAGGATTCCAATACTCTCCTCGGATTCCTCGACTCGTCCTACCTCTTCAGCTACGCATTCTTCATGTTCTTCAGGTACGTCTTTAGGAAGCTCATTTGGTCGATGACCACGTCCCATTTACTCGAACCCTCTCTTCGGGTGTTTACCGAGCTGGCGGTGTTCCGGCTTCCCGTTAAACAACCGCCACCGTCAGAACCGGGGAGGACTGTGGTCTCTCGCTCCCCCTCCCGCCCCCCCCCCCCCCCCCCCCCCCCCGTTGACTCCCCCTCGGACAGCCGACAGCCGCATAGGTCGACGGCCAGCACAGCCGCCACCCGAGCGGTGCCGTGTTTAGACGCGCCGGCGGAGGGAGTTTTCGTCGAACCCGCCGCACTCAGCGGGGTGATAACGGTTGTTGACCCGCTCATCAGCCGCTCAGAGCTGTCGCTGGGTCCGGGGCGTCGCCCTCCGCCGTTGGACTATGCCACTTCCCTGTGACGCCGCCTGCCTCGCCGCAGCGGCCAAGCCCCTTCAGGAACGGCTGGAAGGGTGGCTCCCAGCTTTGGACGGATTTGGTGTCAACCCTACGGGCTATGGGCGTTGCGTGTGAATGGAAACAAATGAGGCATCAGGTGCGAATCACGTATGCCTCCGCGCAGCCTCGTCAGAGGAACCGCTGGGGCCGCCTCTCCTGAGTGTCCGTGAGGCCCCGAGGAGGAGACCCTGGCGATGGTGGGGTATGCTGCGCCTGACGTATACTGACGCCCGTCCGACAGCGGGCTGCTGGCCGAGCGGATGGACCTGCGCTACTTTCTCTCGCTCGGCATGCTCATGTCGGCCGTGTTCGTCTGGCTGTTTGGCGCCGCCTACTACTGGAACGTGCACTCTTTGGCCTTCTTCATCATCATCCAGGTGAGGGTTGACGCGGGCCGGCTGGACCGGCACGCCGCGCGGCCGCCTGCGCCGCCGCACAAAGGGCCGCCGCGCGCCTGCGGCGGCTGCGTGCGCGTGCGCGTGCGCGCCCCACCTGCGTGGGGTGGCGGCGCCAGGGCTGGCGCGCCGCAACTAAGCCCCAGAAATGGCGCGAAACAGGGATTCGTTAGAGCGGATTACAAGTGCGGCGCGGGTTGAAGGGTGCGAGCCTTTTGTATGGTTTGCAAACTTCTTGGTGGGCCTGTTTCTACCAGGTTTGACTGAGTGACATGATCTTTGAACCGATCTTCCCAACCAACCAGTCGGGGGCCCATCCTGATGTAACGGCCGTTTGGCGCGAAGCGCGTCGTTATCAGGTTGTGGCGCGGTTTGTTGTGCCCGTGGGCCCGCACATCAGACATGAGGCGAAAACAGCCGGCTCCCCACCAGACCCCGGTCGAACAGGCCGGGACGGCTGAATACAGGCCCGCGCCGCGCGCTCGCGGACAGCATCTGGCGCGAGATAGGAGGGAGGGCGGTGAGCTGAGCCGGACGGTGCGGGGTCGGACGCTCTGCGCGGGGCTGCACAGGGTCGGACTTGCCGGGGCGGTGGCGGCTCGCGCTGTGGGGCGGCGCCGCCGAGCAGGCCGGCCAGCCAGGTGGGCAAACGACACGGTCAGGCGGTATGTCTATAGGTGGTCGCTGGCTGATGAAGAGGCCTCGCTAGGGGTTGATTCGGACTTGGAGATCGAATTGGCCGTACGCGCGCAGCAGATACATTTGGTTCAGGTAATGGGTAATGCCGAGCGTTATGGACACCAACTGAGGGTTTTCCTTTGTTCCGCTGTCTGAATTTAGCTCAGGTAATGGGCAATGCTTAGCGTTATGAATACCAACCGAGGGTTTTCCTTTGTTCCGCCGTCTGAATTTAGCTCAGGTAATGGGCAATGCTTAGCGTTATGGACACCAACTGAGGGTTTTCCTTTGTTCCGCTGTCTGAATTTAGCTCAGGTAATGGGCAATGCTTAGCGCTATGAACACCAACCGAGGGTTTTCCTTTGTTCCGCTGTCTGAATTTAGCTCAGGTAATGGGCAATGCTTAGCGTTATGAACACCAACCGAGGGTTTTCCTTTGTTCCGCCGTCTGAATTTAGCTCAGGTAATGGGTAATGCTTAGCGCTATGAACACCAACGGAGGGTTTTCCTTTGCTCCGCTGTCGGCTTTGTCGAATATTTGCTTATGTCTCTTTGTTAGCAGTGGAACTCAGACCATCTGACTAAAAAATGTGTTAGTACATTGCTTGATATCTTGGCATACTTAAGATTGGCTAAAGAGCCGGATCATTTGTGTAAATATGTCTGCTGTGTCTGGGCGCCATATGACCAAAGTAGTCGGCGCGCCCTAAAGCCCCGTTCGCCATCGCTTTAGCTGTGTCATTACACGCAGTTGTACGTGGAATTCACTTCAGACCTCAATCCCAGTGATAGATGTTTGTGTAAGGCTTGTGGCTGGCTTTGGCAAGGTAACATCGATCCATGCTTCCTATTCTATGTAACAAAGGCCTTGGCAGCCGTCCGTACGCCCAGTACCGCTGCTTTCACCAGTCTTCCCTTGTCCTGAGAACCCCCGACTCGGCGGCCCGGTCGGCTGTCGCCAGACGCTAATTAACCGTCGGGCTCGGTGGGTGGGGGGTGGGGGGGGGGGGGCGCTCCCTCCTGCGGCTCCCCTCTCCCTCTGGCGGCCGCTATTGTTGTCGGCAGGCCGCCGGCCGGCGGCGCCCGCCTCCCCTCCCCTCCCGCTCATCACGCGCCGAGCACGTGAGCACGTGATCAGCTGCCTCGTCAGGACATGACCCGGAGGTGCGCGTCGACCCCGCGGCCCGTCTCAGTCAGGCGGCGGCCGTAACGAGACGTCCCCCCACCGACTTCCGCCGCCCCGACCCCCCGCTCCGCCGAACCAGCGGCGGCATTTCAAAGACGGACCGAAGGCCACAGGCGGAGTGCTCCGCGCCGCTCGGTCTCAAACTTCTGCTTCGTTCCGCCTGCGGGATTGCTGTCGACCATTGGTGGCTAGCGGACGGCGCTTACGGTGCGAAACACGGGCGTTATCGGACACTGCTCCCATCTCGTCCTTACGACAGGGTTAAGCGCTCGGTTCGAGTGGCATTAGGCGGTTCTCATGTGGGCAGAGATCCGACTGCCGACCGCTTCCGCGGCGGCGGAAGCAGGCCGGAGACTCCGACCAGGGAAACCGGCTGACACGCGGACCCGGCCGAAGGACCAGGGTTTCGGACTCGCTGTGGTACGGAGGACGATCGAAAGGGGGTACGTTCGCCTTCATGACCTCATGACCGATACGTGGGGCGGTCGTCCGCGCTCGTCGCTGGAGCCGCACGTCGTTGGCTGTTGGTCGCCTCGGCTGGTGCCGTCTCCGGCGAGACGAGCGGTGCGAGAAAGTGGGAGACGTGGGAGAGTGGGAGACGAAAGTGACGGAAGTGGGAGACGAACTGACGTCGCCGGCGGTGAACAATGAAACGGCTGCAGGGACGGGCGTGACTTACAGCTCCCCCCCCCCCCCCTCGCTGCCTCGCAACCGGCCAACACGTGACAAACAGGGCCCAACTGCTCGAGCTGAGACGAACACGAGGTCTGGGGGGGGGGGCTGGGTGAAGCCGTCAGTCGTAGCGAGAGCCGCGGTAAGGCCAGGGGGAGGGGGGAGAGATGATGACCAGGTACTGATTGAGAGTTTTTGACTATCAGGTGTGCCGTCGGCTTTTCTCGTTCTCGAACACGCTTCCAAGCTTCGGTTTCGTCTGCCACAATGGAGCCGTGATAGGTTTTAGCCGCATTTAGAAGATCCCTGCCCTTTTTAGCCTCACTAGTGACATGCATCTTTGGGCGGTTATAAATATGCGACCAAGTTTAAGAAGCTCCGATTCTGATCACGCTTCCCAGGGCGCGAGGAGGATTTGCTTAGGGGGGGGGGGGGGGGCGTGCTTAATTAGGACACATCACAATTATTTTTATATTTCTGTCAGGAGCTATCTGTGGTGAAAAGGATGTAACGTGGACCAGAGAGTTGGGGCGGCCCCGTCCTCCCTGGCTGCACTTGTTCGCTTATCGTTGTGCTTTCAAACAAGTTGCTGTTATTCGGTCCCGGTAAAGTAAGACAAAGGCAGAACAAGACATGCCGTGATATTGTCGGTCCTTAATTTGAGCACGCTATGATTTGGCTGCGTCGCCAGCGTTGCAGCGAGAGCAGCTCCTCACTGTTTCGTACCGATCAGAACCCGATACGCACTTAGACATATCCCACGTATTTTTCAGTTGAATGTGAGCCAATCTCGTGCGGTTCGAACGCACGATTGCTGTGATTGCAGTCGGACTGGCGTATGCCAACCTAGAAATGCAGCCGTCCCACTTACGTAACAACCGTAAAAGCCTTGGCAAGTTGATTCATCGTCATTCAGCCGCCGACTTCTGCGATCACTCAGCTGTGAGGGCTGCCTGACAGCGGGGTGGTGTGAGGCGGGCCGTGACCCCAGCAGCACCGTCCGAGGTGGGGGGGGGGGGGGGCGTGAACCCGGTAGCACAGCCTGAGGGGGAGGACGTGACCCCGGCAGCACCGCCCGAGGGAGGGGGGGGGTCGTGACCTCGGCAACACCGTCTGAGGGGGTCCGTGACCCCGGCAGCACCGCCTGAGGGGGTCCGTGACCCCGGCAGCACCGTCTGAGGGGGTCTGTGACCCCGGCAGCACCGTCTGAGGGGGTCCGTGACCCCGGCAGCACCGCCTGAGAGGGTCCGTGACCCCGGCAGCACCGCCTGTCAGTGCCGCGGCCCACCGAGCCCCGCGGGCGACGGCTCGACGCTCGCCGACTGGCGCAGTCTGCTGGTCAGGTCTGACGCGGCATGGCCTTACAGTACACGGCCCGAATGCCACCCTCTGGCGGCCAGTTGTAACAACCAGCGGCGCGCAGTGGCGTGCCCAGGGCACCCACCAGGAGATGTGCGATGTGGATGGAGCACGGGGTCACGTCCAGGGAAGGTGGGGCTCGTTTTGACCCTCGTCCCTGGTTCATTACTCGTCCTCAACCGTATTGAAGTAAAAACGGAAGGACGTTTTTCTTACCTTTGAAAGCATACAGATGGCTCAAGCTATAGTATCAGCATTTTCGGTGGCTGCAGTATCGGGTGTCTCCAGGTCGTGTTTGTAATGGGTCAGTACTTGTGACTTGTACCATGAGTGGCAACAACGGAGCTATGGCTGACCGCGCCGCTGGCTCCGGCTGCGCGCTCTCTCGTAACGAGATCCGGGAACCCGATATGGAGCCCGAGATCACTCTTGAGGTCACGGGACTTTCTCTCGAGATCACGAGACTTTTGTGTCACCGTGTGAAAACCACGTGTTGATTGCATTTTGGTCTATATCATAGACTTCAAACTTTGGTCTGGAGGATTAAGTGCCAAACTGAATGCAGTTCGCGTTTCAGCACGTTCTTCAACGACGGTTCTAAAGGGGATTGCGGGAATAAGGGGCTGGATCATGCGAAAAAGGCCTTGTGCTTGGCACGTCGCCCTTTGACATCATTTACCAGGTTGAGCTGGTTTGTCTTCTTTTACGGGGCCGTGGATCTGCCACGGTATTGGCATCGTGAATATTCCTTGCTAGTTTAGACGACTATTGTGACATGATGGTGTTTACTAAGGAACTGGTACCACATTGGTGGATTCAGTGTTAAATTCGCGTCAGTTTAATTTGGTCAACGCTGTGGGGTGATTTACGTCGTGTTCAGGATCAATGAGATATGAGTTATGCTTCACAGTTTCGTACCCGTCTGACATAAGCTTTAGTCGGGCTGGCCTTTGCGTTTCTGTTACCTCACTCGATTGATATGCCACACCCAGCGAGTACCGACAGATGCTACTTTGTGCACGATTATCATTTTGTGCACGTTATAATTGACTGCATTTCAATGCTGTGTATCGTTGCTTTCACATAGACAATGCTAGAGCGTTCAAGTCAGACGCGTGCGATTCAGTGGCCTTCCGTGTCAAGCTTGCGCCTCGTATTTGAGCTGACCCTCTTGATGGACAGATGTCGCTCACGAGCTGAGTGTATAGAACTACTTTTCACATTGTGCCCTGCGCTGAGATGTATAGGGGCAGCACATCGCGAACAGTTTGCTCAGATCATTTTATGACACAGGTTTTGTTGGCAGGGTACTGGGCTGGGTACCGCTGCTGGTTACTGCGGTGTTATTGGATCCTGAGGTTTTTCCTGTCTAAGCTCACTTCCCTAGGTGCTCTCAAATCATTGCTAAGACTTGACGAAGGAAAATAAGGGACGAACAATGCATGTGATGCTAATACGGGTCATTTGCCTGAATGCTCGTGGCTGCGGCAGCTGCAGCTGTATCCGTCTACGGTCACACCCGTTGGTGCAGTGGAGGTGGAGACGTGAGGGAGCGCCCCCCCCCCCCCTCCCCCTCCACCAATTCTTGCGGAATTCAACGTCATCCCGATGTTAAGGGCGTCAGGAAGGAACAAGGCTCTTGAAAGTTGGAAGTTGAAATGTGTCGTCTGTTTCGACTCGGGTCAGTCCCCCTGTGCGCACCCGACGCCATGCTTCCTCTGGCAGGGCCTGTTCATACCTGTGATGTGATGCGTGTGGGCGCAAAATGACCATTGCAGTCAACGCCCGAAAACACCAATAAGCAACAAAAAGATGTGACGCGTGCACACGCCGTGCCGATGCGCCGCCGACGCGCGCGCCGATGTCGTCTAAGCCGGCCTCCAGGCCCGCTGCCGCCGGCGCGCGTGCCGGTGTCGCCTGAGCCGGCCTCCAGGCCCGCTGCCGTCGGCGCGCGCGCCGGTGTCGCCTGAGCCGGCCTCCAGGCCCGCTGCCGCCGGCGCGCGCGCCGGTGTCGTCTGAGCCGGCCTCCAGGCCCGCTGCCGCCGGCGCGCGCCGACACTGACGCGCCCTGCCCCGCCAGGTGGCCTGCGGCATCTTCGAGGCCTCGGGCTGGCCGGGCGTGGTCACCGTCATGGGAAATTGGAACGGCAAGAGCAAGCGCGGTGAGTGGTGACGGCCCGGCCGCGCCGCCGCCAGGAATCGGCACGGCAGGCGGCAGCCGCGAGACAGACGAGTTTGCCGCCGAGATCTTGGCGGATGGCGGTGCAGAGAAGGGATCGCGGTATCTCTCAAATCGGCGTTTGCTTCCGTTAGGAAAACGCGGCTCATGTGCTCGGTGCGCCCATCGTGTGGCAGGGGATCCCCCGCGCACCTGCAGGATCTCGCTGAGACGTGTCCACTGCCGGCAGGCCTTGTACCTTGGCTGACCTTGGCTGGCCTTGTACCTTGGCCAATATCTTGGCTTGTACCCCCCCCCCCCTTTCGCGGGCACGCGGCCTGTCTCACTCTAGCCCGTCCGTCTGCCCCCAGGGCTGATTTTCGGCATCTGGAACTCCCACACGTCCGTCGGCAACATCCTAGGCTCGCTGATGGCGTCCGCCTTCGTCGACTATAACTGGGGCCTCTCGTTCATCGTGCCGAGTGAGTACGCGGCCCGGAGGGGCAGGGGTCGGAGGTACGACTGGAAGGTTCCTCGTTCGATCCCCTCGCGCTGCTCGTTTTTCCGCGTCGCGCGTGATCGAGGTGAGGTTCCTAAGTGTATCTGTTGTAGTGTTCTGTCTTTGTTTTAGGAGTTGTGTATTTTAGCAGACATGACCGAGAGCATGCCTGATAGCATGCCTATTTTAGCATCACAGGGCCGCCGTGTTTCGCTTGTCTGAAATTCAACTCATCGTTACTACGTTCAGTTTTCCCTGCTGCTTATTCGCAGAGGCTGCATCGAGGTAAACAAGCTCTGCCTGTTACCTTTGCACAGCTTTCTTTGTTTCTCAATTCCCCGTTCAACGAAAAACTTTTCCACGTGCTTTCGTTTGGTTCGCTGTAAAATTCTGGCGGAATGCGCCACTCCTATTACGTGGCGCATGGCTGAGCGCCGGCCTGGCCGCCTCCCTGCCGGGCTGGGCTGCCGCCTGGCCTGCCCCGTAGTCTCTGTCGTTACGCCGACCCCGCCGTGACGTCCGCCGCCGCTGCCGCAGGCGCCTTCATCGCCGGCTGCGGCGTGTTGAACTTCCTGTTCCTGACGCCGTACCCCACGGAGGCCGGCTGCGACCCGCCCCCGGCGGTGAGTCAGAGTGACGTGACGCGGTGGCCGAGCCTCCGCGGACGCCGGCGGCCGAGCGAGCCGTCCTCCGCTGGCGCCGGCCGCTCTGGCCACCCGCCGACCCGCCAGCCGGCGACGCGCGCTGGCGCGAGCGTGTCCCTTATCGAGGCCGCCTTGGGACGTTGGGACGCGTGCGTCCGCTTGTGTTGTCTCGCCGCTTATGTCTGTCGTGTGTTGGTGGCGGGTTGTCCTGGCGTGCCAGCGGCGGTGCCCGCCGTCCCCTGAGCTTGGCGCGTTTTCAGCCGGAGCCGTCGCTGCTGGAGGAGTCGGTCACGTCCGCGCCGGGCTCCCCGCGCGCCGCGCACGTTGCCGTCCACGCCGGCCCCACCGTGAGTAGTCAGCCGGTCGCTGGTCGCGTGCAGTCACGCATGCGCAGTGGCACGCCGCGTGGCGGAAAACGGGAGCGCATGCGCAGAGGCGGGGCTAAGGATGATAGGATGGGGCGCGGGCGCGTATCGAAAAGGCTCGTTCCAGATTTCGGACAACTTGTGCACGGAAAGCGGATAGTCCTGCGTAGGAGCTGTTACATCGCCTGTGAGAAGCGCCTTTTCTTCTGCATGGTTTCCTTCCCTGCCCGTGCGCTCGACCTTGACTGCCTTGACCATCTCACCGCGCCTGACTGCGCCCTGATCTAGAATGGCTAGAACACTGATGGGCACAAGATTGCGGCTTGTCTGTTCGTAGGTGATGGCAGAGTCGGGCGTGGTTTACAGTTCAGCCCGTTATGCTTGCCATAACCGCCTGGTCGGTCAGCCGTCACCGGCTCTGAAGTCCCTGGGTTCGTGAGGATGCGTGAGGGCGTGAAGCGTAGTATCAGGCTGTCATTATAAACAAAAACATGTGACCAGCTGGTCTGTTTAACAAACAAAAGAACAGAAAAGAAAAAAAGCAAACAAATGGGGCTGCACAGAGCTACATATCCCGTCAAGTGAAGTGTCGCTCGGGTGCTTTAGTTTCCTTGCTCTTCAGACAGCGTAAGTGTGACGTGGCATCACGAGAGACAGGAGCACGTTCTGTGCTCGTATGTAATCATCAGAGGTGCGGCGCACGCCATGTCTTCGGCGGTTTGTGTTCACATGATCGGCGCGTGACCACTCAGAGAGGTTGGCGGGTCAGTGGTAACAGCGGGTGGGCCTGATAGCTCGCATACCCTGAAATCAACACCAGCGCCTTGTTTTAGCTTCTTCCCCATCCCTCACCTCCCCTCCCCCTCCTCACTGATAGAAGGGGGAGGGGAGACGGGCGGACTCCGTGATGCGGGGCGGCTGTCCTCCATTGTGGCAGACATCGTCCAGTTGGGCTTTAATTCAGGGAGAGGGGGAGAGGCAACATTGACTCGTACTATCCGAACTCTGCTCAGCCGTCCCGGCCTCCACGCTCCTCTGCTGGTAATTCGTTGCGCCACGAATTCGCACATCTCCCAACCTGCCCGTCCTCCCGATCTGACTTGCCCGCGGCCCACAGAGGCTGGATTGACCGCCTTCCGGCTCGATGCTGATAGCTCGATCCTGAACACAGGGAAGAGTAGGCCATCGAAACCCAAGACACTTGTGCAATAGCATGAGGAAATGTCGGGCTCCTTGGCACCCGAATGAATGAACTTTGCTACGCCGGTGTCCTCTGGCCGGCGCAATGTTGGCGGATTAGCCCACGACCACCCCACGAGCGCCCCCCCCCCGCACTTCAGGGCGCCCCCGGGGTCTGTCGCTAGGCGCGCGCGCGCGTAGCACCGATTGCAACGTTCGGGGTGAGCTGGCTCGTCGGCGAGCCCCAGCGACGCAGATTACTCCGCGGCTCCCGGCTGCCCCCGGGGTCTGTCGCTAGGCGCGCGCGCGTGGCACCGATATCAGCGTTCGGGGTGGCTTCGGGGTGAGCTGGCTTGTCGGCGAGCCCCGGGGACGCAGATTACTCCGCGGCTCCCGGCTGCCCCCGGGGTCTGTCGCTGTGCGCGCGCGCGGCGCCGGCTGCAGCGTTCGGGGTGGTTTCGGGGTGAGCTGGTTTGTCGGCGAGCCCCGGCGACGCAGGTTACTCCGTGGCTCTCGGCTGTGGTTCTGATACGGGCCCCCGCGGCTGCGATACTGGATATAGCTGGTCATGTTTTTGCGTGTCGAAACCGATAGTGTGCGCAGCCTGTCCCAGTCTGAAGGCTAGCCCAATGCGCACTGTCATTGCCGGACGTCAAAATCTAAGCCGCCTGTGCCACTGGCGAAGATAGTGAAGTAGACCACTTGTTTCTGGTCATGACTGTACACTTGAACTGAGTGTCATTTGGTCAGAGCCTCTTCGTCCCTGGGCAAACACTCGTCGGAGTTGCAATATTCCTCGTCGGAGTTGCAATATTCATAACATATGACCATCTCCGTCGCTGTGGGTTTACGACGCACTCAGTAACCGAGACGATGTGGCGTCGCTTGCCTGCCACCCTGACAGGAATGCCAGGCGCTGCGGGGAATCGAACCCCGCACGCATAGTTTCCCATGGGAAACAAATGCAGCAGACCTCGGGTCTGCGGCACAGGCCGCTGGCGGCTGATAGCCTACCGCAATGCCTAGTATCTCGCCGTGTAGCGATCAGAACTCCGGGAGTGATCACATGGAGTGGGACCCGGGTCGGAGTGGTACCAAGACATCAGCAGCATCAGACCCCGGGAGTGGGACCCGGGTCGGAGTGGTACCGAGACATCAGCCGCATCAGAACCCTGGCAGTGATCACACGGAGTGGGACCCGGGTCGGAATGGTACCGAGACACCAGCAACACCAGAACCCTGGCAGTGATCACGCGGAGTGGGACCCGGGTCGGAGTGGTAGCGAGACATCAGCAGCATCAGAACCCTGGCAGTGATCACACGGAGTGGGACCCGGGTCGGAGTGGTACCGAGACATCAGTAGCAGCTGACAGCGTCTTCGCTGTCCCCGTGTCCCAGCGGCGACACAATATAACGTCTGACGTCGACACGCCCTGAAATCCCACATCATCATCAGCGCCGTCAGCGGCGGCTTGGCTTCCCAGCATGATGCCAGCATGCCCGGTGCGACTGAAGTCTGGTTTGCTTTGGTTGCCGCTTAATGTGTCTTCAAAAGATGAGCTTCGTCCACCCTGTGGTAGCCACGTCAGCTCGTCTTCGGTTGTGCATAGTCTGTCCGTTTTCCAGCAGCCGCACCAGCGCATCCTCCGCTGTCTTGCCCGTTCTTGACAGAGTCCCGGTGCCTGGCGGACGTGCCTCTTGTCATGGGAGCCTGTTCGACCTGCTGGGACTGACCCAAGGGGATTGTCTGTGCCTGCTGTCTGCGCCTGGCTGAGCCAGTTTTTGCCACGTGGTCGTCCTGTCATGACCTGCCGGGACTGTAACTGTGAGGGATCGTCCGTGCCTGCCGTCTGTGCCTGGTCTAACCACTCACCACGGGGAGTCCTGGCGCCTGCGCCTGGCTGGGGCCGCCTTGTCCACCCTGCCGCTGGTGGTCGCCGGGACCTGGCCGGGCGTCGCGCGGCGTCAGCTCCCCCTGCTCGGCATGTGGCGTGGGCTCGGAGCCGGGGCTTGGCTGCCTGGGCCGTCGCACGCCCTGTGAACGCGCTCGTGTGTCTGTGCCGCCGCAGGGGTACGGTAGCTTTGGGCCCGGCCGCGGCGCCGCTTGCCAGCCGCACAGCGCTTCCGAGGGCGAGCGCCGACCTCTGCTGAGTCAGGTGGGTGAGGCGGGTCAGGCGGTCGGTGAGCGTTGGTGAGTATTGAAAGGATGCCGTTACCGCCTTCTCGCTTCCAGTCAGTCTCACGTTAGCACCCAAACTTTGTGGAATCGTGGCATCGTGGATGGAAATTCCAGGCAGAGGAAATATCACGTAGTCCTGAAGAATGTGTCACAGCTTTTTCCGCGTGTATAAATGTGCCACACTTTATCGAGAGAGTCTCTTCCGGTACAGTCCATTGAAACGTGCCGCGGGCATGTTCACACGCTGTCCTCACTTGCACGTCACCAAGGAAGCACGAGCAGTACATGCACGCGTCGCGTTGCACGTTCGGAGGCGGCTATGGCGACGGAGGTCTGCTGTCACGCGAGTGCCTCAGCGCTGAACATGGGGGCACTCTACTGTACGCACTCAGCCCGGCGAACTCGCCGCTCCGGGAGGGGTGTCGTACAGGTGGTGTTTACCCAGCGCGTATTTTAGCACTCGATCAGAGCTACATCTCGGGTGACCAGCCCGTCTCCGCGTGTCGAGTGGTTCCACAGATACCGATCATGGGCGCCCCCCGCCCCTCCCCAACCGCACCCGCCCCTCCCCTCCTCCATTACACGTCCTTGATCAAGGCGTGGCTTAGTTCGAGGCCGTGCAAACCGCCCAGCTACGCAGCACACCCACTGCTGCTTGATACCCACGGGGACAGAAAGAGTCGGCGGCATCGCGGCAAACGGGCGGCATGCAAAGGTGGCCGCCCTCAGCTGCGTGCACGTGCTTGTATTTAACGAATTTGTCGGGCAGCTTTTCCAGAAAGTTTGTCGCCGTTGCTCTCGATGGCAGGCGGTCATTCTTGGGCCAAGTCGTTGGACCATGTGCCAACGACTTTTTCACATTACTTGTATTTATGCTTGAACCATACATTATGCATTGTTGTCCGTAATGGGACCTGACAGTATTTTTGGCTCTTCCCACACTCACAAACATCCAGTCAAACGCGCATCTATTCACACACTTGAACATGTGTCTATCACATTGTGCTCCACTTACAGTATCTCTAATGCACGTTTTGTAGGAACATGAAGGTATGTACACGTGTTATGCACATCTCGCATTACTCTCGAGATGACAACGGGACAAACATGTGCGTTTTGATAACAGCGGCAATGAAATACCTGCGGTAAAGTCTTCCGACGTTTAGGATATATTTCGTACATTTTTTGGGTGTTGTTGGTTCTACTTCTTCGGTTTTACACTTTTACTGCACTCAGTGATCATTGATTACATGTGCCAACGGGTAAATGATGCGCCCGTGGGCAGTAGCTACTGAGCGTCAATACAAAAGTACATTATCGCTCTAAAGGTGAACTGAGGCGCGATTGTAATCACTGGAACTGGAACTAGCCGTTTGAGAATATCAAATGATTCTGTTAAGCTCCTGAGCGATTAGTAGACATCAAATAATGTGATCAAATTAACCAGGTCAGTGCAGCAAAGCGGGGCAGGCTAAACAACTGAGACTTAAGCTAACGTAACTGAAGACAAAACCGACAGGCGTCGATATGACCTGAATATTTCGAATCGCCGAGCGTTCAGCGCTCTGAAGGGGCGCCTCTCGCCTGATGTGCGTTTCGAACGACCCTAACGAGTCGCGAACGGCGGCTCGCCGCGTCCCGATGCGGAGCAGCGCCACGGTGCGGCCGTGGCCAACGTCCGGGCCCTGGAGACCAGCGCCGCGCCGGGCCGGGCACGGTGCGGCCGTGGCCAACGTCCGGGCCCTGGAGACCAGCGCCGCGCCGGGCCGGGCACGGTGCGGAGGTCACGGCACAGCGGCACGCCCAGCCCCTGTCCCCCGGTCTCCCAGATAGGCGTGCGACGTCTCGACGTGGTCAAGGTGTCGGCACGCGCAGGTTATCTGCCTTATCTGGCTGCGAGCATACGTAGGTGGCCGCCGGACTCCCACAGCTGTTGTACAGCCTGTCGCCGCTTTGAGCGCGTGACATGTGGTTATCTGTTGTTTTTTCTCGGCTGGAGCGGACAGTGATACGATCAGGGTTCACACAGGCCCCCCTAACGCTCCCAGTGGGTATGGTCGCTGGTGTGGCACGTGGGGCGTTTTGGAGAGGTCCTGAAGTGCCATCATGACTGTGACTTCCGAACCAGGCGAAAGACTTGTTAATGGAAGAGATGGTTACTTTCAAGTGCAATCCGAACGGGACTCCCATGATTGGCTGTAATTTCCGAACCAGGCGAAAGACGTGTTAATGGAAGAGATGGTTACTTTCAAGTGCAACCCGAACAGGACTCCCATGATTGGCTGTAATTTCCGAACCAGGCGAAAGACTTGCTAATAATGGAAGAGATGGTTACTTTCAAGTGCAATCCGAACAGGACTCCCATGATTGGCTGTAATTTCCGAACCAGGCGAAAGACTTGTTTATGGAAGAGATGGTTACTTTCAAGTGCAATCTGAACGTGACTCCCATGATTGGCTGTGATTTCCGAACCAGGCGAAATACTTGTTGATAATGGAAGAGATGGTTGCTTTCAAGTGCAATCCGAACGCGACTGTCATGATTAGATGTGATTCCCGAGCCAGGCGAAAGACCTGTTAATGGAAGAGATGGCTACCTTCAGGTGCAATCCGAGCGGGACTCCCATGAGTGGCTGTGATTTCCGGGCCAGGCGAAAGACTTGTTAATAATGGAGGAGATGGTTACTTTCAAGCGCAATCCGAACGGAACTCCCATGATTGGCTGTGATTTCCGAGCCAGGCGAAATACTTGTTAATGGAAGAGATGGTTGCTTCCAAGTGCAATCTGAACGGGACTCCCATGATTGATGCCCATTTCGTTCGCAGCTTACCGGGTCGGACCGCCGCCCCGACCTTTTGTGGGCGTCGCAACGGCAAACATATTGGACATCGATTACGCATGAGGAGTTAAGGTGCAAAAAGGCTTCAACTATTTGTATCCTCCTTTCCACTGGGAACAAGCGAAAAGAACTGACCTTCGATGCATCGGAAGGGTTTATCTTTGATCAGGCACCAGGGACTGCAGATGCCATATCGGCGCTCTGGGCCATGGTGCAACCAGGCTTCGAACCCGAGCCTAAAATCGCCGAAGTGATCGCATCCTTGCCAATTATTTGCACAACCGTTCGTCGAAGAAGGTCGTTTCCTCCATGATCGGCACGAGACACATTTTTTTCTGATATGACACTGAGTTCTCGTTTTGGTCGCCCCCCGTTTTCGAGATATGACAGTAAGGAAAGTTCTGCCTCAGATCCAGTCTGATTCAGCGTACAGATGCATTTCTTCTGCACTGGACACAAAGCCATGTTCAACGCACCTGCGGTGGCATTCAAAGGGATGAACTCAAAGATGGTCGCCCATCCGCCCATCTCCCCATTCTGACGTCTTCAACGATCGGCTATCTATCTGTATCGACTATTCTGACGTCTTCCCCGATGACATCTACCCACTTTGTATGCGTTGGTTGAATGATGTGGTTCACTCTGTTTACCACTGCGAACTGGGCGTGAAGCAAATGCCAGTATTCATCCGTAGCGAAGTGTAAAACAGAGTGTGTCCCCACGGTGTATCCGTCCCTCCGTCCTGCGGTGAACTCTGGAGTGTGGCCCTTGGACGAGTCCGTAGACGTGTGTCTGTACGTCACAGTTAGCCCGCCTGTTTATGTGTGGACTTGTTTGCTCGTCTGTGGTGGCTGTGTGTTAACTCACGATTGTGTGGACTTGTCTGCGTGTGTGCGGGGGCCCTGTGTGAACTCACAATTGTTTGGGTTTGTCTGCGTGTGTGCGGGGCTCTGTGTGAACCCACGATTACATGGACTTGTATGCGTGTTTGCGGTGGCTGTGTGTGAACCCACGATTACATGGACTTGTATGCGTGTCTGCGGTGGCGCTGTGTGAACCCACGATTACATGCACTTGCATGCGTGTCTGCGGTAGCCCTGTGTGAACCCACGATTACATGGACTTGTATGCGTGTCTGAGGTGGCTGTGTGTGAACCCACGATTACATGGACGTATATGCGTGTCTGCGGTGGCTGTGGGTGAATTCACGATTGCGTGGACTTTTCTTCACGTCTGCGTGGCTATGTGTGAACTCTGATTGTGTGGACTTGTCGGCATGTCTGCATTGACTCTGTATGGACTCGCGATTGCTCATGACATGGTCTATGACGCCAGGAGAAGAGAGAGCTCGGCTCGACGTGGCTGTCACAAGCCGTATAAAAGGAGGTTCGTTTTGCGTCGCGGAAGCTATCAGTCCGCGACACGTCAGCGGGTACCAATCGACATGAGTGGAACGCGCTGGGAGGGGAGACTGGAGGACATAGACCCTTCAGCTTTACCAAAATGAAGTTTTGCTCCCATATTATATGTATATATATATATATATATGTATGTATATATACTGGCCGTATATATATATATGTATATATACTGGCCGTATATATATATATATATTAATATATATATATATATATACACGTTTTCTTGACTTCCGTCAGGACCGCCATATCAAGTCAGGTCATCTCCGTCCTGTCCTTGTTCTTGCTGCCAGTCTCCGGTGCATGGCTGCACCCACGCAGCCAGCCTAAGCTGAGCTGGCGCCGTGCTTCGATAGACCATACGCGTGTTTGCCGTGCGATTTTGTCTCACGGATTTAAGTTTTGTTCTGCTTCCTGGGCGATTATAGTGTTGATATCAGCCAAGGGCAGCGTCAACGCGCCAAAGTCTGCGCTAGATCGGAGCGTTGGTAACGCTCCCCAGAACTGATTATCGGCGAGCCCATCTGACGCTGATCAGGCCGCCAATTTTATTCGCCTCTCTGAACAGACCTTGCTTTGGTGCCAATTTAGAGTCGTCTGCTTCTAAGTCGTGTGACGTCAATGCGTGTACGCCGACACGAAACTCGCGCGGTGCTGTGCGCTGGACTTTATCTGGACAAAAGCTCGCCGCTTTTTGTGCGATTGAGTATAAGCAATTCCTTCCCATGAATTATCTCATGCTCCAAATCTGGCGTTTGGTTATTATGACGCTACGGAACGCGAAAAAGTATGCGAGCATACTTGAGCGCGATATTTGACAGTGTCGACGCCGTGATCGTTGGATGCGCCCATTCCTGCCGTGACCACAGCCTTGAGTCTGAGGCGGTGGGCGCCGAGTGGTCCGGAGGGGGGAGCTGTGCTGACCCGCGCGCTTCCCGTCGCAGCCGGCCGACTCCAGCGACGATCAGAGCGAGCTCGACCCGTCTCCGAAAGCTGAGCTGACCGTCAACGGAGACGTCGTCGCCCCGCGGCAGGAGGACAAGGCCATCAGCTTCTTCCAGGCCATCCTCATACCGGTGAGGAGCCGCCGTGGCGCGTCCACGGATCCGGATGCGTGTCCGGGTCCGGGTCCGGGTCGGGGTCCGGGTCCCCACCCAGGCTCGGATCTGAGCCCTGGCCCGAATGCCGAAGCTGCCTCTGGGGCCGCGGCAATCTGGATTCGGATCCGGATCGGGGGAGCGTGACACCTCAGCCGGCAGCCGCCGCGGTGACGGGTCGTGTGACGCGTGGCTGGCGCTTTCAGGGCGTCTTGCCGTTCTCCATCTGCCTGTTCTTTGCCAAGCTGGTGAGCTACACGTTCCTGTACTGGCTCCCTCGCTACCTGCACACTGCCGGTGAGTGGGCATGGCTCGGTCCCCCTCCCCCCCCCCCCCCCCCGCTGCGCCTCACTGTTCAGTTCAAGAGCGGTAGAACGCACTGCGGAGTCGCGGCTTCCGCGCTCGCCAGCCGGTTTTCAAACCGCTGACATCATTTGACCTTGTTGTGCTGCACCGTGTGGCGTTGCGTCTTGGTTTCGGAAAACGTTTTCTCGTTACGTACAACGTCTGCAGTGACTCAGCCAGGATTTCGTCCAGGGGGGGGGGGGGGAGGGGAGGCGAACCGGGGCATAGCGGGTCCTTTCAGGCAAGGGGTCCTTTATTGTCATTATAGGGGTCCGGTTTTCCAATTCAAGGGAGGCTTTTAGACTGGCATCGAAGGGCCGTTTTCGTGACGTTTTAGCTCTACAAGTGTCTTAAACTGCCAAAAAGTGCTGGGGTATCGGTCCCAAGGGCCCCCGCCACCTGTTGGAGTCGGCCTCTCGCTGGGGTGGGAGGCAGGCGACGCCATATGGCCCCAGCAGCGGGGTGCGTCGTGAAGCCCGATGACAACCCGCCACCTCCAGAGGTGGGGGTGGGGGTAAGAGGCACGACACTTAAAGCCTGTACTCTCGGCTGCGCCGTGGAATGTCTGTGTCATTGCACATCACTGCACGGTACCTTGCTGTGTCGTTTACTGCTGTCTTGAGCACTCCTATACTGTACCGCCCCGATGACCTCCTAGAGTTGGCGATCGCCGGCCGCGCGTCATTTGCCGGCTGACTGGCGATCGCTCTCCTTTAACCCTCTCCCCCCGCGCCCGCCCGGCAGCCGACTACAGCCCGAGTGAGAGCGCCAACCTCTCGACGCTGTTCGACGTAGGCGGCATCGTGGGTGGCATCCTGGCTGGCTTCTTCAACGACTGGACCGGCGCACCCGGCATTGTCTGCGTCATCCTGCTGCTGATCGCCATCCCCGTGGTGGGTGGGCAGCGGCGGCGGCGCGGGTGGGCTAGCGGCCTGGCGCCGGCTCCCCAGCCGCCGTGCTTCCCCCCTCGGCCCGCGTCCGCTGCAGGCCGCGCGCCGCCTCCCCCTGCGCGAGGGCTCCGGTAGTTTGCCGTGCGTGATCCGGCGCTGGAGGGCCGCTGGGCTTGTCTTTGCTCCGCCGCCGTGCCAGGAGCACAGCGACGGTGGGCGCGGACGTGCCGTGGTGCCAGCCGCCCCCTCACGGCCGATCGTCTGTCGCGCTCGCGCACCTCTCGCCGCTGCGACGAGTCTGTCTCTGCTTGTCTGTCTGTCTCGTAGCATGTCGACAGTCTAGCGATTCCTGACAAGCTGCTGCTGCTTGACTGAACTCTCACACTGTATGGTGCGGACGACCCGGAGCCGGTGCGCCGTGGACGCGGCGCCGCCCGCCGAAGCTGGCAGCGTCGCCCCGCTGACCCCGTTCCGCCGCCGTCAGATGTTCGTGTACCAGGCGGTGGCGACAGTGAGCCACGGCCTCAACACGTTCATGCTGCTGGTGGTGGGCCTGCTGGTGAACGGGCCGTACGCGCTCATCACCACTGCCGTGTCGGCCGACCTCGGCACCTCGCTGCAGGGCAACTCCAAGGCGCTGGCTACCGTCACCGCCATCATAGACGGTGTGTGTGTGTGGCGCCCGCCCGGCGTCGTCACGGGATCGGGACTGGACCACGGTGCGGTCCTGTTCTCAGCGCGACCGCCGGAGGACTCACCGCTGTTAGCTGTGTCTTACATCACTGCCTCCCCCCCCCCCCACCCCCACCCTCCCCTCTACCTCCTGGTCTCTCGGAGGTCCTCGCCTCGCCGTCACAGCTGCCCGGTCCGCCAGCCCCAGCCACATGACGCGTGTGCTCCTCGCATCGGGTCAAGGGTTTGTGTCGTAATTCTGTCGAGTGTTGTCGGTGGCGCGACCTGTCTCAGTGCAGTGCGCACCGAAGCCCGCCTGCACTGCCGAGTCGCAGCGGATCTGCTATCAGTGGTGCAGTCGCTGAGATTCGAGACCCCGGTAGATTGCGGCTGAACTGGACTGTGACTGGCTTAAGCTGACCGAGACTGAGGCTGCGACTGACGGTTGACGGCTGACCGAGACTGAGGCTGCGACTGACGGCTGGCCGAGACTGAGGCTGCGACTGACGGCTGACCGAGGCCGAGGCCGCGACTGACGACTGACGGCTGACGGCTGGCCGAGACTGATCGTGGGCAGTGACTGGCAGCGGCGCCTGTGGTCGGACTCACACTGTGAGTGATGTCGCGCCGCTGCCGTCGTCTGGCCGCGGGTGGTGCCGGTCTGCGGTCTGGTTGCCGGTCTGTGGTCTTAGCGGACGGCGTCTGACGGACGGCTGTGGTGGTCGCCGCAGGCACCGGCTCGGTCGGCGCCGGCCTCGGCCCGCTGCTGGCCGGCGCCGTCTCCTCCGGCGACAACTGGACCGGCGTGTTCGTTATCCTGATGTGCGCCGACGCCGTCGCCATCCTGGTGAGTTGCACCGGCCCTCAGCGGCGGTGCCTGCTCGCGCCGGCCACGCACGCCCTGCGCAGCGGACGACAGCGGGGAATCTCGCACTCGCCTGGTGTCGCTGGGTCATGCGCTGGAAGCCGTCCATTGTTACTGGGTGGCACTTCTCTTGGTTCATAAGACTTGGCGGCTGTGTTTGAGGTTTTATGCACACACTTGTGATTCTGTATCTTGTCACAGCACCAACGTCGGATCCTCTGTTCTCACAAGTACTTGGACCATAGTTGCGACCTATTCCAGGCATCGCAATGTTCGCCTTCTTTCCGACTAGAAAGACTTTTGCCTTCTCTCCGACTTTTTGACTACCACGCCGCCTGGTCTGGGACCTTGCACCTAATACCTTATCCCAAGACCCTATCCTCTACAGCGTGGACCAGGCCCGTGACGGCGCGGCGGCCTCTGTTCCAGTCACTGGGCTGGGTGCTTAAGCACGAGGTGCTCGCGATCCTGGACCGGCGTCGGCAGCGGCGCGACGCGCTGCCGGCCTAGAGCCCGGCCGCAGCGCCCGAGGCGTCGAACAGAGCGGCGGTGCGCTGGCTGGCCCGCTCCGGTCCTGGGTCACGGCCGGCGGCGGTGCGCCGGCTCTGTGAGCCGCGTCGGAGACCCGCCAGACCCGCTGGAGACTCACTGAGGACCCGCCGGAGACTCGCCGGAGACCCACCGGAGACCCGCCGGAGACCCGTTGGAGACCCGCCGGAGACCCGCCAGAGAGCCGCGGAAGACTCGCTGCTGAGGACCGGCCGGCCGCGACGGCGTCGGAGCTCCTCCTGCGGCCGCCGCGGGCACGGTGCCGGGCCCGCGGCGGCCGGCTCTCGGGGGGCGACGCCGATGTCGGTGCCAAGCTCCGCGGCGTCGGCGGCTGGCGGCGCCCGCGGCCGACCAGCCGGCGCGCCCGGCCAGCATCCGCAGTATTTGTCCAGTCACACGCCTCTGGCGATGTCGGGGGAGGGTTAGGGTCGTGTCGTTTTGAAGTGTTGGCGACGTTGATGATGCTGCGGTTTTAATGCAGAACTGTTACATTCCTGTTCGTCCCAAAAAAGACAGTCGCAGTCCAAACATGACACCGCTGTGAACGGCGGCGTTTATTCACGCTTTCCTGCATGGCTTTCTGATTATTTAGATCGGTTATGGGTGATTCCAGACGCCACAAAAAGGCGTCGTAAGGTAATTTACCAAGTAACTAACCAAAAGTGACACTTTCGGTGGTGCTTGCCTTCTTTTTTGAATATTGAAGCGATATTGGCGCATGCCTTGCATTTTACGGCTTATATCCGTTTAACGACTGCTTTTTTAAAATATTGGGGCGATATTGGCGCATGCCTCGCATTTTTACGACTTATATATGTTTAACAACTTTGAACTGCCGCACGCCAGTGTCTACCATTGCCTTGTCACGTTAATGTCGGTGCACACCAGCCTTTCGAGGCATGCAGCAACTGCGGTTTCAGTGCCTCGGGCTTGTTTTGCCTCTGCATGCGGTCGTGTCTTAAAAAGTGCCTGTAACGATGGAGCGGGGTGCGGCAACAATGCCGTGCTCAAATTCACATTCTCTTGTGTCCGTTGGCACTGCTCAAGCTTGCACGTGAATGTTTAATGATGCGGGTATCATCATGATTGTCTCATACATTACCAGCTCATACTGATAGCTCATTGCTCATTGCGATATCTCGTTTATCTTTTACGGCCCGCGGGTACGTTGCGACTTGTACAGACGTATGTTCAGCTCAGGTGACACATTGGTCCGTCTGCTTGCGCGTCGCTAGTCGTCGCAAGTTTGAATGGTGGCTCTGTTTCACCATCGGACCCACGCGTTATAGGAGCCCGTGGTCTTGTCTAGTGTTCTGTGGCATGCCACGTCCGTTTGAGTTTACGTGAATCCCTGGGAGGACTCCCCGAAGGGGCTTTGAATGGTTGTGTTGTGACCCAAGAAGTTTTCACCGTGGCTCCCCATGTTTGCATGTTTTGCACTAGGTTTTGGACAATGTGTGCGTCTGGTGATATCCAAAGGCCATTTTTAGACGGAAAGCTTTATATTCGCACGCTACCTCGAGAAATCATCCAGTGGCAGCATAAGCATGCAAGAATTTGAGCTCCAGCAAGCATGAGTTTGAAAAGAACCTGCGTGGTCCTGGTTAGCGTCAATTTTGAACTATATGTGATGGAATGTCTGAGCGCATGCGTGTACGAGTTGCAAGATCAATTAGGCACTGTTGGGAATGCTGCTGCGCGGAAATACCTTTCATGGGTTAGTTAAGCTCACGCCTGCTAGTGCGATATATATATATATATATATATATATATATATATATATATATATATATATATATATATATATATGTGTGTGTGTGTGTGTGTGTGTGTATACATATGTATATATATATATATATATATATATATATATATAGAAATACAATAGAAATAATAACAGCGTGGTGGCGTGTGGGTTGGAGTGGGGCGGGGGGCGGAGGGAGACCTGTCCGGGCCCGTCTTGAGCACGCTCCTGTCAGAGTCGGACGTCTGCGGTGGCGCCGATACTGGGGCACGAGGCGCTATCGGCGACGGCGTGGATCGATACCCCCTCTCCTGTGGCGCGGTGTGCGAGCGCTACGTACATCCGTGGCGGTGATGCGTTACACACACCCGTGACGGTGATGCGTTACACACACCCGTGACGGTGATGCGTTACACACACCCGTGACGGTGATGCGTTACACACACCCGTGGCGGTGATGCGTTACACACACCCGTGACGGTGATGCGTTACACACACCCGTGACGGTGATGCGTTACACACACCCGTGACGGTGATGCGTTACACACACCCGTGGCTGTGATGCCATCCGTCACGGTGATGCGTTACATAAATCTTTGACGGTGATGCCATGCATGCATCCGTGACGATGATGCGCATCGGCGGCTAACAGCCATGTTCCAGTGTTTTGAATGGCGCTGTGCATACGCTTTTCGACCGTTCTTTGCAATCCAATACTGCCATTTGTACTGAATTGCTCCGAGCTTATGCATGAAAGATCATGGAACATAGCCATCATGAACAGTTAACCAGTACACCTATCACAGAAGGACCTGTAGCTACGCTAGACATGCTGTTGCGTTCCTAACGTGTACATTGTGCGATAAAGCAAGCTGTGTTAATGCGAATAAACTGTGTAAGTGCCTCAACTACGTGTTTGAAGTACCTTATCTGAGAGTCCGACCCATTTGTACACGTTGCGGGCTGGTAGCCTTCACTCTCTCTGCCGGGCATGTCTGAACCACTACAGACAGCCACATCTCACCTAGACGCGATCAGCTTTGGTTCGTAGCACGAGCAGCGGGCTGTGCGGCCACTCGGCTCCAGTCGAAACTGCCGCCCAACCACAGTTTCGGTGGAACGATGAAAGTTGGTGTCCAGGAACCCGAGCCCGCGCTCAAGACGAACCGGATGGCGCAGCACCAGCGCAAATACACTGCAGGAAGTCACCATGAAAACAAAGTCCTTGGCTCGGGCGTGACGACGGACGGCCATGTGACCTGGACTCCATCTGGACTAGACCACGGGTCGATACAGTCGGTAAATGCAGCGCCGTTCCTGTTTCACGCTGCTGCACGACAATGGGTCCGGCCATTCGTCGTTACACATGTCAACTCTGTTTCCCGCTCGAAGCGCGCTGCTTGTTTGCTTGCCGTCCATCAGCTCTGTTGCAGTTGGGAGTACATGATAGTGCACGGCTCACAACCGATTACAAGAGTAGACACCGGATAGAACGCGCCGCACGTCAAAGCTTATGCATTTTCAGACAAGTGAATCCAAACAGACTATGTAAAATACCTCCTATCACATACGGAGTCCGTCCACTTACGTGGCTCAGTGCGACGGCACTCAGCTCAGCAACGTCACATGGGAATGCCTATTCCTGACCTAAAACGCCGCATGGTCCACAGGGTGGCAAGGTTTGAATGCCGTTGCTAAGGGGTATACACGCCTGAATGGTCTTGAAGTTGTGTGCACATCTTCACGGCGTACGGCTCAGAAAGTAGAGGGTTTTAGGTCTGAACAAGGGCAGGGCTGTGAACTGCGTCGAATGATCTTCAAAATGGCACTGTCACTTGAAAACTCCGTACAGACTTCAATTTCATTTCACTCCGATCACGTAAGCAGTGTGACGCGTCGCAAAACCTTTGTCCTCGTCATACCAGGCGCAGCCGGGGAGATGGTGGGCGGGGAATGAGGGGTTAGATCCGTATTTTCCCTTACACGCCATAGACACTTTGATTCTCTTATGAAATGTTACCATACATTCGTTCACAACCCGGGCAGTGTGCGACTTGGAACGCAAGAACCCGCAGGGGGAGGGGGGGGGGGGAGTTGTCGCAACTTATAATTTCTGCCGAAAACTGCGGTTAGCACAACTGAATACAAATTTTTTGCTCGGCGTAAAACAACATCCCATGTTCTCGATTTTTTGTATCACCTGTTTTCCTCGATTTTTTATCATCATATTTTCGTGCACCTATCAATTAATACGTTTGATTAAGGGGGGGGGGGGGAGGGAGCACACATGTCAGTGGCCACTACGCACGTACACCCCTGTGCTCGGTCTTTCTTTGCCGGCGCCCTCTCCGTGCTGCTCCCTGCTCAGCCGGCGTATGACAGCGGAATGGTTGCATCCATGAGTTGCTAGGAAGCGCCAACTGGACACAAGACACGCGTTGTAGTTGCGTGCACTTTAAGTGCGATGTGCGGCCTGCTTAGTGAGTACGTAGTTCACGCGGGGCACGGCATGCAAGCGTACATGCTAGTGAATCACCTTGCTAACCGCTTCTTTGCCTGCCCGCCACTGTAAATGGAACGCCACAATGCAACGAACAGCAGATACACCATTTCGCCCCGCAATCTACTTTTAATCAGCTGGTCCTGAGATCTGCCCCTCAGTGGGCTCGCCGCGCGTCGCCGGCTGGAGGTGGTCCGAGGGAGAGGGGGGGGGGGGGGGCGGGTGTGTGTGTGGGGGGGGGGGGTCCTGTCCCGATATCGGAGCACGGCCACATTCCTAAAAGCCTCAGCGGTCGAGGTCACAGCCCTGAACCTTGTTTCGGCTCGCCATTCGGCAAGGAGGTCACGGGCAAGCGAGCCCGCCAAAGCCCCGTCTTCCGCGGCTAAACCACAGAGCCCGGATGCCTTCCCACCCTGTCCTGATATCGGCGTGTCGCCGCGTTCCGATTGTGACGCGGGTCTTGAACTCTGAAGCCCACCTCGGCGCCTGTCACGACGTCAAACCGTGGGCAAACGCGGCACGGTGAGCTCATGTGGCTGCGCAGGCGCCGGCCACGCGACGGGGGCACCTGGCGAGATCGCACCACCACGCAGGCACACGGCACGAGCGCCCGCCACCCTCCGCAGCTGAACCAGTCAGTCTCAGGGTGTCTTAAGATGGGGTACAGTGGGCGATGTCTGATACAGGCCATTTTTCGCAATCCGGCCTCCAACATAAAAATAGCACAGCGGTGGTAAAAGGGGAAGAACAATGCTTGTGAACACGAAAGCCCGTTATTGTTTACCACTTCCTTGGTTTAGTTAGTCTGTTAGCTGCCATTTGTCAGTATAACTTGTGTGTAGAACACTCAAAATACACTTGCTGTCACAAAAACCGTACGGCCATTTCCTGTTTGTGAAAGGAGATCCATTGCAATACCACCGATATATTTTAGTATAGGACATGTGACATGCACAGACCGATCAGTTCACATTTGCTGCAGAAATTCCATCCAACACATGTGCACGCGTGTTCAAAATTATAACACGCGTCGGGACTGGTTAACATAAAACAGCATCTACCTGGCAAGCCCTTGCACAATAATCCGCACAAAACACAATACTTTCAAACCTTCGTCCGCGCGTCTCACTCGACGCCTCGAAGCCCCTCAACACAGCCACCAGCCCCTCGCGCGGGTGCGTAAAGCTTCATCTCAAATTCCGTGCGGCACACCAGCTGAGCAGTCCGCTGGCGCCGCGCGCGCTGCGACGGCGGCGGCGCGGCCGACGCGTCGGCTCAGGCGGCCTCTTCCGGCCGCGCGCCGTCCTCGCCCTGCAGGCGGCGCAGCTCCTCCTGCAGGATCGCACGCGGGGTCAGTCGGCACCCCGCGCGGGCGGACACGCGTCCGGCCCTCGCAGACGCGGACCAGACGCGGTCTGATGCCGGACAGAGCCTGACTGGAGCGGGCACGTGCAAGGGCAGGCGCTGGCCGCCGATTGGGACTCGTACCAGCGCCTACCAGCCTAATGGACCCTGCCGGCTGCCCGTGCCGAACACAAGACCTTCCGACATGGTCAGTGATCCTCCGGCCTACGCTCCCACCGCTTTCACATGATCTTTGAGACACGGCTCTGAGGAAAACTGAGACTGGCGGAGAACTCATCACGTTCTAACGCGCTGTAATGATGGCTGTCGCCAGCTACTCACCACAGCAGCCAATGTTAGCCGGACGAGCATAACCCCTCACATACCTGCCAGCCGAGAGCGGCAGCCATGGCGACAGCACCGTCGTCACAGGTGCCCAGCCAAGCCACGTCCCTGGCGGCACACGACACGCCGTCCAAGAACATCGCCAAGTCGAAAGCAGCGCGGCAAAGTCCGGCCATTTGGGTGGCAAGGAGACCGATATGTTCCAATGCTTTTGTATCCGTGCCTCGGAATCCACTAGCTGCTGCTGCTCTCATAGCTGAGATTTGATCAATGAGTCGGGGGGCGATCAACAAGCATTTACGCGCTTCGGGCAAGGTCAATGGAGCAAGCAGGTCAGGATGGGCGGGTTTGGGGTCAGAGGGCAGCGCATCAACAACATAGGACGCACAGTGGAGGCGAAGATGACGAAGGAGACACGTGTCTGATCGTATGAATAAATCTTAGCCTCTCTGGCACCCAACAGAATGAATTTTGCCACGCTGGTCAGGAGATAGAGCAATACCAACTCGCAACTTGCAGCATCTGTTGTCTGCATCACTGAACACAGGTTCAGCCGCCCGCCGCTAGGCGATAGGGCGAGCCAGCTGCCTGCAGCTGACGGTTCAAAATTTACATGCATGGCATAAACTATAATTTCCAGCAACCCTAAAAAGAAAGCACCCTGAATAAGTGCATTCAATGGAAATAAAACGACTACCACCCTCCCCAGCCGCAAAAGCCTGGAGGCCGGAAAAGGCTACACACGCGTGCGGCGCCACTAACCGGTAGTTGCTGCTGCTGTCAAACTCCAGACCCGACTGGCCCATCATCCGCATGAGCAGGTTGGGCCGGCCACACTTCTCCTTGTTGACCAGCAGGCGGGGGCAGGTGTCGGGCACGCTGCCGGTCAGGGTCTGGTGAGGCGGGCGAGGCCGGAGCCGACGGCGCACCGCGGGCCGCGCCGGCGCACGGCCCACCTCTGGCGGCATCTCTCGTCACCCAGGCCTCCAGCCCTGCATTCCGACCGCCCACGCTGCTGGTGGCTGCTCAGGTGCACTCACTCATCAGCTGGTGCAATGTAGCCTCGACTCAAAGGGAGCCAAAAGACTTGCTCAAACAGAGAAAGTCCAATTATGCTCTCAGTTTTGTTGTAACACTACGGGCCACAGCATACCCTGCTAACAGCATAGCCAAGCTCTCGAAACGTTTCAGTCGATTCACTTCAGGGAAAGATGTGACAGCATCAAGCGACCGCAACATTACATCCCGCTGTTCAGCGACATACCGCCCGTTACTTAGCTACTCCAGATCTGCTTACGTCACCGGACTTCATGTGAAGATTTCGGCCACCTCTAACCCGCTCAGCCGCCTCGCCCGCTCGCTTACCGGTCGACGAGGGAGGCGAACGGCTGCACCGCCAGCGAGGTGCCGAATATGATGAGCAGGTCGCACTTCTTGAGGTCGTCCTGCACCAGCCTGAAGAAGCGAGACGGCAGGTTCTCCCCGAAGAACACGATGTCTGGCTTGACCACGGCGCCGCACGACTCGCACTTCGGCACGTCCTCAGAGAATATCTGGTCTGAAATGTGCGATGCGGCGGAGTGAGTGTGAGCCACTTGCGCACGTGCCGTCAGGTGACTGACTTGTTCGTTGGTTTCAAAGAGCACTGCCAGGTAAACACGCCGCTTGAATTTTTCCACATGCGCCATGGTCGCCAAAGCGTGTTTTTCACGTCAAAATTCACCAACAGGTGACAAAAATTACCGCACCTTGAGATGGTGGCAGAAACTTGAAATCTTGCAAACCCTGGCACACCACATGAACAGTGGGGACACTGCTCAGCTGGAAGTCAGACACATGGAAGGCTATGAACAATGTGAGCAGATCGCAGTCAGCGTCCTGGTTGACTACGTCACACTAGTAAACGGATCGTCATTGTGGCGCTGAGTGGTCCTGTCAGTATTCACACACGAATGTTTACTAGAGACCTGCTGGTGCTGCACCAGACTGCGAGTGTTGATTGCAAATCGGACACAGTAAAGAAACACGACTCTGGTATGATTTGGACTAACGAAACAGAAAGAACTGACGTGAAACACGACACCTTCCGCGGCCAATTAATGCTACACTCCTAGTTTGTCTCGTATTTGTCTCCCAATTATCTTCCAGTCCGCCAGTCCGCTCGCCAGTCTCCTCTATCCTGCGGCCACCTGTCTTCCCCCCCCCCCCCCCCCGCCCCGCCCATCGCTCCCTCGCGAGGAGCAGAGGCGGGAATAGGGCCGAGGCGCACCCACCCTTCATCCACTGCTGGTCGTAGCGCTGGCGGCAGCCGGTGCAGTGGGACGTGTGGAAGGTGCCATGTGCCTCCACGATGCGCTCGTCGCTCACGCCGGCCGCCCGCTCCAGCGTGTCGATGTTCTGCGTGTAGTGGCGCAGCAGCAGACCCTTCTGCTCCAGCAGCCGGATCTGGCGGCGGAGCCATCGTCGTCACGCCCGCGCCGACGCCCTGCCCCTCCCTTCCCTCACCAGCACGGGCACCGGCCGCTGCCCCGGAAAGAGTGCACCGCCGGCGCCGTGATGGAGCGGTGCCGACTTCACCAACAGATGTGAGGAGCAGAGACACAGCTGGGCGAAGTGAGTTCAGTGTATGTGTGTGTGTGAGGGGGGGGGACTGAATAGTAAACGCCCCGAGGTGCACCAACACATGGGTTTCTCTCCAACTTTGATCCACTTTCTCTTCAATGTCGGGGGAGGTGAAGCCCAAGTTTTTGGGGCAGGGGGGCAGGAGCCCACCCAACTGAATACGGCACCCTGGTGGAGAGGGAATGAATGGCGTGCTTCTGTCTGTTTATGACTGACCTGACTTGTTCTATATTATGTCTATCTGCCAATGGTGCATGCTTGAGATGGGACACAGCGCATATCTCACGTAATGCAAACGGTCTAGTGACAAACCATGGATAAGTTCAGCACGAGTCACTAAAAACCGAATATCTGACGGTGCCACTCACGAATCTGTGGCATATGGTGGGCTTCAGCTCGCTCGGGTACAGCTGTCTGGCCAGGTCGAAGAAAGGCTGCGGATTCTTCTCGAAGAAGCTGATGTCGAACACGGCCTCCGGCCGCGGCAGGTCGTACTTGCCCAGGTTGTCGTACAGGCCGCTGCCGGGCGAGCGGAAGTCCGGAATGCCGGCCGAGGTCGACATGCCGGCGCCCGCCATGGTCACCACGCTCTTGCAGCAGCCGTCCCGGATGTACTTCATGACGCCGTCAAAGTCCACCGTCTCCAGGACCTGGCGGGGGTGGAGGTCTTTAGCGCGGGTTTGACCTGTTCACCTCGCACTGGCTGTGGTAAGCCAGCATCACGACGCTGAGCGCACATTCGTCCGAATATTTTCCCATCCCCATCGGCACAGGTACCTGCCATGATGATGAATGGAGCCTCAGGACGCGCCAATGTCAGCAGAGCCTACCTTGAGAGATTCATTCGAGGCAGATCCCAGGTTAAGTTTCTGAGCAAAAAATTGCCGAATTTTCTCCATTTCTTCCAGATCTCCGTCAGAAGCCTGATGGTCTATTGGTGAGGTGTCTTCCTCTGTTGGGGAGGCACACTCTATCTTGTCCAGGTCTTCATTAGACAAGTTTAACCTCCTAGAACTGGATGCTGGGTCTATGTTTCCTCCTGTAGGAGGAACAACGCCACTCAACGCACTGGCCATAGCCGTGTCCTGTGTCATGTCCCATAAATTTCTTACACTAACTTCAATATGCAAGACATAATGCTTGTGAAAACTGCTCATGCAGCTTTCAGGCATCTGGTTATTGTATTTTGGAGCTCATGAATAACAACTGTGTGGAGAGGCTATCACCTATTCTTTACTTTGAGCACATTGGTCATTAATCTATACCTTCTGGCATGCATACAAGAAGCAAAAGTTCAAAGTAGTGCTAAATCATGTCATGCATTACTTTAATACCTGGTTGGAGAACCATCAGCAATGGTGGAGCAAATAAGCAATAACCAGTGTTCTAGTCTCATTACTTTTAGGGTATCTATTACACTAGCAATAACCATAATACTAGTCTCCTTACTTTTAGGGCATAACAACACCAGTCTCTAGTTTCTTAATACAAAACAAACAATGCATATTGAAGGGGTCTCTGAATGTTATTTATATTATTGCCTCCAATTACCTTCAGCCATGGTGGGTTATGTATGCATATGGTTCTGGAACATTGAGACATCTGTTTTGAGTACACATATAATGATATGCATCACAATTTTCATACATAAACATGCCAGACAGTGTAACTGACACCAGACTTGCAAAACTATGATGCACATTGGTATCTTATGCATGTGATACTTCCCATAAATATATGAAGCATATGAACCAAGTATTTTGGGCTTGGAATACTGGTATGAGAGTACAGGAGTCACATTTCTCGTTTCAACTTTGGGTGAGGAAGATAGTACACAGGATCCCAAATCTATGGAAATGCATGGAAAGCAAGTAAAACAAACTGCCTCTGGTACCCCATGCCTACAGCATTATCAGTGCCTGATTTTTTCAACTAAAAATCACATTTTCATTAATGTTACTGTTATATCAAAATTATACAAGGATACAGCCAGACTTGTACCCAAATCTGGGTACAGTCAAAATCAACCTCAGAAAAATAAGAATGTTGATAAGTCAGGGTAGAACCAATTCTTGTATATACTTATCAATTGTGGCATTATCTGGGGTTTAGTCCTCTATGTCATATATAACTTAACCCAACCAGAGATATAAGCAACAGTATGTTTTCATAAACTGACAATTCATGCTAAAATCATAGACTGACAGCTTCTATGTTAATGACCTGTCACCAGAATGAGCCTGTGAGAGCCAGTCCCAGGATTGAGCAGAGATATCCCTGATCCAGAATTGGCATCCTCTCAAAGTTACATCTGGCAATCAAAACCAGAGGTGAGCTCCCTGAAGCTGCAGTGGAATCAAGATAGTCAGGTTATACTGCAAATGTATGTCTATAGCCAAAGGGTAAATCTGGGATCCCATAGGGTTCCATGCTAACAGGATCCTGGGATCAGACTATGACCTTTTTGGCTCCAGGCACATGTCCCAGTTGTAGCCAGGTTGCATAATATGTAGTCTAGTCAAACAATGCAAATTTGAACCAAAAGGAGATGTTAACAACATCTACAACAGCAGCCAGCAACAGCTACCATTTCCATATGTTCTTCCTGACATGACAATGAAAGCAGGATAAGTGGGGAATATTGGTGCTGGAACCACAAATGTGGGTTTCCCCCAAAGTCTAACAAAGCAAACTAACCTGTAGTCTGATAACAATTTCGGATTCAACTTTTTCCACTCTGCTATGTTTTGATATCTTTCAAGGAGGGAGAAGCTTGCTGTTATTTTGGTCATGATTGAGGCATAAACCATAAAATCAAAGATGTGAGAATAATTACTTGCAGTGCTTTTGTCACCTGCACACTGTACTGCTGAGCCTCATTAACTAAAATGTTACAAAACTATTATTGCAAAGCAATAACCACAGAGACAAACATCCAACAGCTATCTAAGCAATGCCAAGCACAATGCTTTCAACACAGGCAATGGCACCTTGCAAGTTTGGGTAGACCACCTCCACTCAGGAGAAATGCACATTCTGTGGCTATTTTTATGGCTACATATTTTACATGGGTTTGTCCTAAATTAAACCTACCCAAAATTTTATTGTGTGTGTGGGGGGGGGGGGGGGTGCTCTGCCCCATGCTCAACTGATGTTTTGACCTATGAGGAATCAGCACCATCTTTTAAATACTTTAACTTTTTTAAAAAGATGATGCAATTTTGATGTCCTTTGATTGTCATTGGTATCACATCATCTTGAAATTGGCTTATATAGGCAACTGTTTTCTGCAAGACTGTGACTACAATTCCAATGAACACCATTTTTCTTCGCAATAATATTGTGCCCTCACTCTAATCTTTGCTAACTTACTTCTTGTAGGGCATAGGTACAGGAAGGAATAAGGAGCTCAGAAAATATTGTAGAGTTTCATTTCCCCCACATTGAGTTGACCTACATTTATGTGATAAATTCATACTTTGCTCCCTATACTCAGCTTCTATACCAAATAAACCTTTACCAAAATATTCAGTGTTCAAACTACCCATAAGGAGAAACCTTCAAACTTATTTATGCTTGATGTCCTGAACAGTGCAGCCAGCGTCCACCTACGCCTATCCAGAATGGATAGGTAAGTGAGAGTGCATTTGCTACCCTTATGCCTATGAACCAATGCCTTGTGTACTTATGTACCTGAAAAGCCCCGTGATAGGAAAGCATCCGCATTAAATTGAATCTGATCTCTGCTTTGTTGTTCTAGTTATCTAGCGCTTATCGCCAAGCTTACACGCCCCGTATGCGCAGCTGATTTCCCACTCTGGCACGCGCGTTATCGGTTTTTTTTTGTGGGCCAACGCAAGACCTCGCTTTTTTCCTCCACGGACCAAAAGCCACTCCTGTGTTGTTTTTTTGTCTAACGTCGACAGTCGCCACAAATGCAACAAATGCAATATGGTAGCAGTCTATTGTTCCACGATACTGAAGAGGAAATCTGGTATAGGTAGGGAAAAGATAAGAGGCTTGACGTGCGTCAAGTTGAAATCATGAGGCAAAACTTTTTCTTTGCTTAAATTTCAAATTGAATCTAGGTAAATGTTATGTTTTGTAACATTGGCTTGAACCTAAATTAAACTTTGATGCAAACTAAACAAACACCTTTTCTCGCTAATTAAAGTGGCCTAGGAATCTGGTGCCAATTTGATAAACGTACAGAAACCTGCGCTATTGAGGCGATAACCGGTCGTTCCAGTCCAACGAGTCCAACCGCTTCGTGACCCGTTCTGCCGTTGGATGATGCCGGCGCGACGTGGCGACCCTTGGTTTGTTTACGTTTTATTATTCGGGTAGCTTCCAAAACGCTGGTGAGAAGAGTCGTCGCACTACCTTCAGCGGTAGAGGGTAAGATAGTGTGGCTAAAAAAGTGCAGAGAGAAAGACTGAGCTTATCCAGGTCTTCAGCAACTGCAGAAGGGTAGTGACCCATTGGTGCACTATTTGATCACCAAATAGTGCAACACCAGATTCGGTATCACCAACTATTTGATCAGGCATCACCAATCAACGTTTCCTTGGTTGTATCGGCAGTGTGGCGCGCCAGAATGTTGGATAATATGTGAGCATACAATTTCTCAACCGTTTTCCAGGAAGCACATCGCGTTAAAAGGCTGCAAACAATGACCAGGTGGATATCAGTAATTCTGCTGAGTTCTGTTCTTTTGATATCTCAATGTTCAGAAGATTTCTACAAGCTTCTCAACATAAGCAAGGATGCAACCAGCAGAGAACTCAGGAAAGCTTTCAAAAAAGCTGCTCTAGAAACACATCCTGATAAAAACCAGGTAAGGAATAATGACTGCATATCAGGTCCTTATGGTTACATTCACAGATATTTCATGTAATCAGGTGCTGAGTGTTTACAAGTTTCATCACAGAACCTTGTTGCACTGCTTTGCTATTGGCTGTGTAGAAGATGTGGGTATCCAAAGGTCCTGTCATTTGGGCCAAGATGCTTGAAAGGATTGCACAATATTTGTTGGCAAGGTTATGATGTGTGAAATACTGGTGACCCTGAGATCTTTATTAGATGGTTTAACTACTTATGTTTAGTGCTGCCTGCTGCCTGTTTTCATTTTTGAATTCAAATAGGCATTAGGGGTTGTGCCAGATAGTATGGGCCAAAAAAGGTTGATTTTAATTATTCAATGTCAGCGGTGTCCACTGACCTTGATAAAGGCTAAATAAGAGGTCTGTTGACATTGCTGTGATGAAGAAATTCAAAATAAGCATAAAATATATCACAAGTTTTCTAAGCAAAAAAAATGTCTTGTTTTAACTTTTTCTGACCTTTGTATGTGACCTAAGATCAGTGGAAGTGGTTGTTCTGCTAAATTCAGATGTGAAATTGCCTGACATACTATTTCAGAGATCAATTTATTTCAGTTTCAGTTGCTGGATCACAGTGAACAGTTCCCTAGGTATTGCATTCACAAAGTACAATTGCCTGACTGAGCTGCATAGGTCAGCAACATTACATAGTACATCTAAGTGCTTCCTACCAAAAGATATGTGATTCAATTGCTGAAAACTGGGAGAAGTTTGGCATGGCATAGTGGCTATGCTCAATTGTTCAGGAGCTTTTTTAGAAAAGCCCTCATAAGAGGTGGAGCTAATCAACCTCCCACCCAAACCCATGTTGAAACTGCTCAATAAACTAGTTTGGTTGTTCTGTGGGGTACTGATTGCACTGATCATAAGTGATTTCTGCATGCAATGCAAGCATAGTATGACAATGATGATATTATAATGCCATCTATGATGATGTGGTGAAGATGATATGACACAATTGTATGGTTGATAAACATGATAACATGAACATAATAGACATGTGCACATGATTCTAGCCTTGGCAGGCTGTGTTGCATCACCACATCAGATGTTTTATGTACATTTTTATCATGGCCTGTTAATGTTCTTAATGACTTTTTGATTTCATTAACATTGCAAACATTTGTAGAAAGGTAAGGTTTTGCAAAAGTCATTGCTCTTATGGTAAGGCACCAATCTCTGAAGATTTTAAGCAGCCCTCATGTCCCCACCTGAATGGAAATAAGAGTGAGTTGTAAGATGTAAAGCTGGAATCAGAAGCTAGCCTTCAGCTGAATGAATTCTGGCAGCCTGCCAATCACTGCCACCTGTCTTTTTTGCTATACCATTGGGACAAAAGTTTGAAGGTGTGCCTTGGCCTTATAGGTCTTTTGTTGTTCTTTGTGTAGGCTGCATCCACATCAGTGTATTCCCTGTAACATGCTTTCAAACAAAAGTTGGTCTAAGTATGTACTCATTGGGAAAAAATCCCACACTTTTTGGTCACAGCTGGAAGATGTAAGCTATCCTAGAAGTGGGCCAGAAGTGTAGAAGTCATTTTCACCATCCTCATGTGAAAAATAGTTTATGGTGCTAAATTTTGTCAAGTTATTTGTTATGTCTAAGGTCTGTGTGATATCACATCTGTCATTCAGCCACACATGTGTGCTGGGGATCATATTGTAGGTTGGAGCATTGTGCTGACTTGAGATGGCAACTGCTTTGCTCTTACTTATGAGGTGGTTTGGCATGTAATGTGAATATAATTCATTGGTTATCCACAGCCACAGCCAGATTTTTTTTTGGCCAAATCCTCATAGGTTAGGTGTGTAGATATTGAGATTTGCATAGAGAGTTGTGGCAGTGAATTGCTCTGCACTTAAATCCGAAAATGTCATGTGCTGGTGGCTTTCTGCCACCTGTCCACCTGTGCACTGTGTGTCTAATCGAGCATGCTGTCCTGTCTAGTGTTAATCGGCGCGATTCCTTTATCTCTAGCCTGTCCTGTAAGATAGGGTTTCATGTGCTGCCGTCGTCCAGGAACTGCTCTGACGGCGGACTGCTGGTACTGGCTGGTGCTGCAGATGGGTTGTGTAGGCTTCTGGTTCTGTGGTAGTTATGCTTGGAAACCAGAGGTGCTGGATTTGATTCCCCGCGGTATCGGCGCTACCAGAGCAAGAGGCAGGCGACGCCACATAACAGCACCCCAGTGAAGCACCAATGGCACAGATGTGCCGTGAGCTCGGCGTGGTTGGTGCTGTGGTGGCCCTGTGGTAGGTCTCTTGGCTGGGACAAGTGGAGCGGTCCTCGCTCTCGCAGCAGCTGGATTGATCTTTGACATCCCATGACTTCCGGTTTATCAGCAGACACAACCAGCAGCTTGTCTTACGTTGTTCTTGAGTAGCATCCTGCATGTCTCGAGGCAACGGCATCGCCCTTCCTCAGCCAGTTCGCCTTCTGTGACATGCAGGACGATCCGGACGCGCACGACAAGTTCGTGCTGATCAACCGGGCGTACGAGACGCTGAAGGACCCGGACCTGCGGAAGCGGTACGACCTGTACGGCGAGGAGGGGGCCGACAGCGGCGGCGGCGGTCGCGCCCAGTACCAGTCCTGGAGCTACTACCACGACAACTTCGGCATCTACGACGACGACCCGGAGATCGTCACGTTGGACCGCGCCGAGTTCGGTCAGTGGAGTCGGCTGCGTCGGCGTGTGACCTCGGCTGCACGCGCGGCCGTATGTGTGGAGGGAGCGGATGGGACGGGGGGGGGGGGGGGAGAGCATCAGGCGACAGGGTCTGGGATGGTTCGTGGTGGGAGGTACGGGTTGGCATAATCTGCTGTTGGGGAGTGTTCGTTGGTGGCATATTCATCGTGAATGCAGTTGCATATGTCGGGCGGGGCTCGTGATTGGCGAAGCTTGGTTTGGATTGGCTGTGGACGCTGTTTTGTCAAAGCACGTGGTTTCATTAACGTCCAGCTTGTGCAAAACAATGTGCAGCGTTCTTGATTCCATTGGTCAGCAAATGAAGACGGAATTCTGCTGGGACGGAGTGTTGGTTCAGCAGCATTAACTGCTTTGGTTTACTCCCTGATTCGTTCAATGCGTCCTAACGAAATTGCGCTTACTCCACTAACACTGGAAAGGTGTTTTTTATGGATGATTTTAGAAGGAGTATATATTCTGTCGTTGCTTTTATGATCGTTTGTCGTGCCGCTTTTGCTATTTTAGGATGAACTCTGAGTCCCCGACATTACAACTTCAGCACGTTTCTTTCCAGGCTGCTGGCATTGCTCACTGTTTTCGCCTGATGACTCAGTGGAACTACCAACGTGATGTCTCGTTCATCCATGCAGCTGGTGTTCACCACTACCCCCCACGGCACAAACCGCCCCGTTCAGTTCAGCCAGCGTGTTCGCTCAGCCCCCGCAGCCTCTGTGAGTGAAGCCGACGGCCCGTCTGCCGGCGTCGGGAGACTGACCGTGCTCGTCCGTGGTCCCCAGAGCAAGCAGTGCGCCAGTCGGCCGACACGTGGTTCATCAACTTCTATTCACCGGGCTGCGGCCACTGCCACGACCTGGCGCCGGGTAAGCGTGCGAATCCGGCGCGACGGCTACCATCGTGACAAACAAAGGACCCGTGGGGAATTGTGCATGCGGACTAACCTGGAACAGTATGCATTATTATTTTTGTTTTACTGTTGAAGCCCCACAGAGCTTACGCCCACGCAAAACATTTTTGCAATGCGGTTTCTGTGTGCATAACATTTATTGCGATTTTTTATGCGACTTATTTGTACGTTATTCCAATAAAGAACTTGCTCTGAAAGAGGAGCATTTCACATAATATCTGCAAAGCTGTCATATCCGTGCATATTTCGTACCCGACGTGACCAATCTCATGACATTTGGATAATCTTGGTCTTGATGAAAGCAAACTGTTCCCAATGCTCGACGACGTGAGCTCATCCTCTAACCCGTGGATTGCGAGGCACAGATCTGGTCCCCGTCCAGCCGCGTGGGCCGCGCCCTGCGTCCTGCCCAGTCGCAGCTCGCGGCGCCGGGTCCCCTCCGCAGCCGGCGCCGTCCTGCCGCGTGAGCCGCGCCCTGCGTCCTGCCCAGCCGCAGCGCGCGGCGCCGGGTCCACTCCGCAGCCGGCGCCGTCCAGCCGCGTGAGCCGCGCCCTGCGTCCTGCCCAGCCGCAGCTCGCGGCGCCGGGTCCCCTCCGCAGCCGGCGCCGTCCAGCCGCGTGAGCCGCGCCCTGCGTCCTGCCCAGCTGCAGCGCGCGGCGCCGGGTCCCCCCCCCCCCCCCCCGCTCTGTGTCCGGCGCCGCCCTGCCGTCGCTGAGGCCGTCGCCGCCCGTTCCAGTGTGGCGCCGCGTGGCACGCGAGCTCGAGAACGTGGTCCGAGTGGGGGCCGTCAACTGCGCCGAGGAGTGGTCCCTCTGCCGCCAAGAGAACATCTTCTCCTACCCGTCGCTCGTGCTATACCCGGACGTGAGTGATGTCACCAAGCTCGTGGTTAGCTCAAGCGGGCCAACTTTTGTACCTACTTTGAGTGCTGTAATATTGGTACTCGCTTCCCATGTTTGTTTCATATTAGTTATCTGTTCATGTATGAACAGCCTGTATGCTCATAAACCACGAATCTGCGCTATCACCTGCGATAGCCTGTGGCGGCGCAGAATAGTGCTACCCGTTTTCGCGAAGTGAAAGGCGGTGATCGGGTACCGATAGCGCAGTGGCTGACGCGTCTGCATTAACCATTGGGCGTCTGGGAAACCAGAGTTACGGGGTTCGATTCCCCGCGGTGCCCGCTCTTCCTGCCGGGGTGAGAGGCAGGCGACGCCATATAGTCTCAGCAACTGAGCGTGTTGTGAAACCCCAATGACGACGAAAGGCGGTGATTGGACGACGAGGGCGTCTGGGCAACTAGTCACCAGGTGACAGTCGGAGAGGGAGGGTCGTGGGCTGGGAAGTCGGTACAGACGTTGGGAATTCCAGCGACAGAATTAGCAAAACAAGAGGCATGGAAAGGAAAACTCAAAGAAGGGTCATCACCAGCGTCGTCATGCAGGGACACAATTTGCTTATTATTTATCTGGAGTGACGCTGTTGTATCGAATTGCAGTGATTTTTGAAGCCATTACCAGAAAACGCAGCCAAACAGCCAGACAGTGCTGGACAAGGCCTCAGATGCCTCGCTGCTATCGCGCTCCCCCACCTCCTCCCCCATCTCGTCCACTTCCTCACCCCGCCCGTGGGCGGGGCACCACGAGCACGAGTTTGCCGACCCGGCTGTGTCACCGTCTGACCCCCGCAGATTCCCGAGTCGGTTGTGTCCCTGCCTGAGCGGCTCTCCGCATACTACTGACTATGTTTCCCCGTGTGGCCCCTGCTCCCCTCACAGACTGCCGCCTCGTCCGTGCCCCCGTCTGACCCCTGCTGCCCCCTCACAGGGGGAGGACTACGAGGGCGAGCGGAACGTTGAGCACCTGGTGCACCACGTGCTGCGCCGGCTACACGCGGCGCCCATCGACGTAGACGCCGAGAACGTGCGCCACTTGACCAAGCGCAGCGGCGTGCTGGCGAAGCGGCCCTGGCTGATCTTCTTCTGCGGCGGCGGCGACCACAGCTGCGCCGACGACGACACGAAGGTCAAGGTGGCCGCCATCATGGTAAGCAGGGGACCGGCGGGACGTGGGGTGGGACTGGTGAGACGTGGGGTGGGACTGGTGGGATGGGGTGGGGCTGGTGTGACGTGGGGTGGGGCTGCTGTGGCGTGGGGTGGGACTGGTGTGACGTGGGGTGGGACTGGTGAGACGTGGGGTGGGAGTGGTGAGACGGGATGGGGCTGGTGTGACGTGGGGTGGGACTGGTGTGATGTGGAGTGGGGCTGGTGTGACGGGGGGTGGGGCTGGTGTGACATGGGATTGGACTGGTGAGACGGGATGGGGCTGGTGTGACGTAGGATAGGACTGGTGTGACGTGGGGTGGGGCTGGCGTGGCGTGGGGTGGGACTGGTGTGACGTGGGGTGGGGCTGGTGTGACGTGGTGTAGGACTGGTGTGACGTGGGGTGGGGCTGGTGTGACGTGGTGTAGGACTGGTGTGACGTGGTGTAGGACTAGTATGGCGTGGGGTGGGGCTGGTGTGACGTTGGGTGGGACTGGTGTGACGTGGGTGGGACTGGTGTGACGTGGGGTGGGGCTGGTGTGACGGAGGGTGGGCTGAGAGTGGGGCTTGTGCGACATCGGCTCTCGTATGTTACCCAAGGCGTGCGTATGTGTGTGTGTGTGTGTTCTGTGGCGGCGAGACCGGGGGAAGGGGAGGGGGGGGGGGAAGGGCAGCTGTCGTGCGTCGATGGCTGAGTTTGCAGCCCGAGGGTGCAGCACTCTCGCTGGCGACCATTGGACGCCGAGTGCGACTCCAGCGGCGCCGGTGACGCCTGTGGTGGAGGACTCTCCCGATATTCCGTCGTGGAGCCTTCTATCGCTCAGAGCGCCCGGCCGGTCCGGAGCAATCACACTTGGCCGGCGGTGGGCCGTTGAGCTCGAGCCATGGTCGTCATCATCAGCGGGCGCGGGTCGCCCCGGGGCAGGGCCATTTGTTTTCAGTCCTCTGTGTGTTGTCTGGGGGGGGGGGGGGGGGGACCGGTGAGACCAGCCCAGTGGGGGTGCGTCTCGTCCATTCCGACCGAGCGGGCATCGAGCAGCGTCGGCATGGATTCATGCCAAGACGATAAGCCGAGCAGTGATCGTGACTCACGCAAAGACGGTCAATCGTGTTCGCAGATAAACGAGATGAGCTAAGAAATGGCGGGGGAGAATGCCTTGGGTGCTCAGGGTTATTGTGGACTTATTACGGGGGAGTAGGTGTCTCCAGCAGCTGATTCCAGCTCAGAGTGTCAGTCTAGGCACGGATCGTCGCTCGCATACTGAACCTACACGCTGGTGGGACAGCCGTAGTTCGCAGATCACCCGGCTCTGTTGTTTTAACCGAACCGGGCGTCACTGGGGTTGTTCTATGTCTGACGGCTCTATAACAGTGCCAATGATTCTGAGTAAATGAAATAAAAACGTAGCTAGAGAGCATTGCCGGAATTTGGTGGGGGCCATTTAACTGCGTGCGTTTTGGGTGTGATTCGCTTTGTACATTGAAGTGTAAAGTGGCGAACTGGTGGCTCACGTATGTCTGCTGTCACGTATGCTGTTAGCTATGCTTGACTGAAATGTCTCACTCATCCTGCTTTTGAGTCCGGGTTCCGCTCCAACCCGGGCTTTCAATCGCCTAGAGGAGCCTATTTGGTGATAATTAATCGAAAATAAATTTGATCCTGTGATGTTTTGCACAATGCATTGCCGACGATTACGAAGTTATTTTGGGTCTAGCTAATGAACACAGTGGCTGTTGCCCAGGCTTCACTGCCAGTGCCGAGGAGTGGTAGTTAGGGGTGCTCAGATATTTTACGTAGGTTATTTCGTGGAGGAGAATGTCAGCCCGACATTAACGAGTGTAGATTTGAAGCCAGTCCACGCAGCAGCGTGCTGTGGCTCTGGTTACACTGCCGGCGCTGTACGCAAACCCGCCTGCTGTCTTTGCGCATGCTAATTTTTCGCTCTTTTGCATTTTCAATCGCAGGCCCGTGGCCTTGGATGTTGCATTCAAGAGTAAGTTTCGCAAGTATTAAAACATACTGGTGCACTTCGGTTATTTCTGCACGCATGTGTGAATCGCTCGCATAATCTGCACTTAGCACTGTTTTTGGAAAACAATTTATGTGGTGCTGACGTAGACTGCTGCACCGTAATGGTGTGCTTGGCTTCGTTAGTGCGGATATTCTGTTCTTACGCTATTGTTGCTCTTTTACCCTTATGTTCACCTGCGGATGTGGTCTGCTGTCCTCGCGTGTGAATTTTGTATGACACATTCCGGTGTTACACTTGCCAGCTGACCTAGGCTCGTAACTTTGATGGCTCTCCACAAAAATTGCAACAAAAAGTCACTCAAGAGTCGGATGTGTTTAACGCTTCAGTATTCTCCCCCTAATTGGTGCATCTCTTCTAGCTGTTTGCCCTTCACACTGTAGTCTGCAAACTTTCGGCTGCAATACGGGCCTTATGGAAGGGAAGTACACTGGTACTACTATGGTTAGCATTTCATGTCATAGTGTTGCGGCGCCGAAATAGAAGGTACAAAAATTACAAGATTTTTGCTCGCATGCAACTGTTAACACAAAAAAACATTGTTTTCTAATTACGATTTTCGCTCCCGTTCTAAGAAAGATGAAAGGTGCATTTGGAGAAGGGGAGATCTCTCAAGCCATTGGCCACTTGTTACGGAGTGCGGTGTTCACCCGGGCCCTGGCTTGTGAACTTGACGTACTCAACTTGCGGCTGGTGTCGGCAGGAGGGCGTGGTGAACGTGGGCCAGACGGACTGCCGCGAGACGGCGCTCTGCTCCAGCCTGGCTCAGCAAGAGTACGTGGTGTACTACGGGGCGGCGGCGGTGGCGGCCGACCGGGGCCACGTCATCCGCAGCCTGGACGCGCAGGAAATCGCGGCCGAGACGCTCCGTCTGCTGCCGCCGCTGCCAACGCTCACGGAGGAGGAGTACCAGGTCAGCCGGCCGGACAAGGCGCCGGCGCTGCGCTGGCAGGCGCACAGGCTGAGAGCCGCTAGAGGCTGAGGCGGCGCGCCCTCGGAGGCGGCCGGATCAGGCTGTCACAGACGGGACATGGCGTCATTTGCTCACATTGAGGACAAGTATAATGCTCCCGCAATGTTTATTGTGTTTATAATGTTTATTCAAGGCATTGACCACATGCCATCCCTCACACCATAGTTATGCAGTTGTTGGCTCTCCGTTCACGTGGATAACGTCAACGACTGGGGTAAATTTGTCTTGTTGACGGACAGTGTGTCCGGCGGGGTATCGCGTTACGGTAGCCTGGCAGCGGGCGCGATACTGCGACTGTGTTCATGGTGGCGCTTTTCACGACGCTGTTGAAGGGCACTTCATCGAGAAACGATTGTTATTCTCGTCGCTTTGTCGGGTCTTGAGCTCACCGTTCGCCTATCCTCGCTGTCCTGCCAGGCGACAAGTCACGGCCCGTGCACGTTGCCTCTGATGAGCCGCTGATGAGAGCACGGCTCAGCGCACGAGCCGGTTGTGACAGGGTGTCCGTCCCGTCTCTGACGGTGTGTCTGTCCCGTCTCTGACGGTGTGTCCATCCCCCCTCTGACGACGTGTTCATCCCGCCTCTGACGGCGTGTCCGTCCCGTCTCTAACGGCAGTGTCCGTCCCGCCTCTGACGGCCTGCCCGTCCCGTCTCTGACGGCGTGTCCGTCCCGTCTCTGACGGCGTGTCCGCGCATCCTCTGACGGCGTGTCCATCCCCCTCTGGCGGCGTTTCCATCCCGCCTCTGACGGCGTTTTTGTGAGGGCGTGTCCGTGCCACCTCTAGCGGCATGTTCGTCCCGCCTCTAACGACTTGTCCGTCCTGTCTCTGACGACGACCGTCCCGCCTCTAACGGGGCGTCCATCCCGCCTCTGACGGTGCGTTCGTGACGGCGTGTCCGTCCCGCCTCTGACGACGTGTCCGTCCCCCCTCCCAGACAATGCGGTCGGAGCTGGCGTCACCGGCGGCCGCCTCGCTGCCGTGGCTGGTGCAGTTCACGTCCGACCTGACCCCCACGCTGGAGCTGGTGCGCCTACCCGCCCTGCTGGCGCTCACGTCGTTCTCGCGGCTCGACTGCGGCGCGCTGCCGCACAGTCTGTCGGGAGCTGCACGTGCGCAAGCAGCCCGCCTTCGTGCTGTTCAAGCCAGCCCGCGGCGGCGGCGCCGAGGGCGGCTACGAGGCGTTCCACGGCCGGCCGATGGCGCACGAGGTGGCGGCGTTCGCGCGCGAGGCGGCCGCCGCCGGCCTGCGCGCGCTCACGCCCGACGAGTTCCCGGCGGCGCTGCGCGACGGGCGGCCGCGCGTGGTCGACTTCTTCGCGCCCTGGTGTCCGCCGTGTATGCGGCTGATGCCGGAGCTGAGGCGCGCCAGCACGCTCCGACCGGACGTGCCGTTCGGGTAAGCGGGCGGGCGCCAGGGTGGGGAGGTGGCGGGCGGTGTGTGGAAGGTGTTGAGGAGGTGTTGGTGGGGTGTTGGGGAGGTGCTGGAGAAGTGTTGGGGCGCAGGCGGGGAGATGTTGGGGAGGATGTTGGGACGGGACTCTCGCTAGCACGCTCCGACCGGACGTGCCGTTCGGTTGAGCGAAATGGCGCGGCCGCCAGGGTGGGGAGGTAGCGGGGCGGGGCAGGGTCTGGTTACACCCTGGTGGGGTGGGGTCGGGGAGAAAGGGGACAGAGCCTGCTCGTAGTAATGTTTTTGGGGCGACTAATTTCGTTCGGGGTTAGCGGCTGATGGACCGCTTTGCGTGTGAGCGTTGCCGTAAAACAGCTCCCATTCTGCATTGGAACCGTCCAACGGCAATTTGATCTGTCTTGTCTCTGAGTAAGATGAGCTCGAGATGAGATTGCGTGTTTTTCAGGTAGATGATTTCAGGTATCATTTTTGCGTCAGTTGTAACTCGGCCTGTAGTCGCGTGATGGGCTGGTTGGTCCAACACAGCTCGTGTCCTTGACTTCCTCCTTCTGCTGAAGTCCGCTTTGCACCAGTTCACGGACCAGCACCGCTCGTTTGATTCATCGCTAAGCTGCCGCCGCCGCGAGACCGAGCTATAGTGCCCAGTGTGGTCGCTAAGGACTCGGCAGAACCGTCCCGAATTATTGTCTCACCGTCGGCGCCAGGGGACAGCTGGGGCCATTTCGAGGCGTCGTAACTCCGCGAATAGACAGGTCGCCGCCTACCGTATTCGCCAGCGCAAATATCGAACGTATTATGCAAAGCTGTGTGTATCGCGGTGTGGTCATCAAACGTGCCATATCGAACCGTTGCAACGATTCGACATGATACAGATGGTCAGGACCATTCGTCTGAAGGGTCATCGTTGCGATGTTCTTGCACTGACTTAGCGGTCAGAACCAGTTCAGTGTAGGGTACCGGTTGTGCAGTGGTTAACGCGTCTGCGTTAACCACTGCACGTCTGGGAAACCAGAGGTACGGGGTGCGATCCCCCGCGGTGCCCGCCCTTCCTGCCGGGGTGAGAGGCAGGCGACGCCATATATCCTCAGTAGCTGGGTGCGTCGTAAAGCCCCAATGACACAACCAATTCAATGCTATTTTTTTGTGTATGAGGGTTGCTGGGGTAGGATATCTAAAGCCATTGTAAGAGATTTTCCGGACCCGGCATCGCGCATCGCTTGTCGCTGGTAGGCTACGATGGTGTGTCTGACAAAAACAACGCAGAAAAAGTTGTTCCGACCTTTACGCCTAAGTACGTACTCTTTGTCAGCCGGGTTTGACCCGGGACGAATGAGCCCATTATAACGCTGGCTTTGCGCCTTTTACGTCCCCGATGGTTTACTGATGGGTCGAAGGCTTCCAACGTAGCGTTTGTCTCCTTGTTTCTTCGGGATAATCGTCATAATGCTGTCAGAAAAAGGACTCGTTAAGACCTTCGCTTCGAAGAGTTCGCCCACTACTGAAACGTGTAGCTGACCCCTTGATGTATATATATATATATATATATATATATATATATATATATATATATGCGGCACACCAATCATTACTGCTGTTTTCGAGGCACCTAAAAGTGCCCAGTGGAATGTTAAAAAAAGGATTTCCCCACCTCGTTGTGAACCGCTTTTTCAAAGACAGAGAAGTGTAAGCTTTTCTGCGGTAAATGGCCTAGTCCGCTGTGCATCTCAGCATTCATCCTCCAGCTATTTTGGCCTAATTTGCGCTCTTGTTCCTGTGTTAAGGTGTTTATATTTTCATCTAGATGGTCCGTCGTCATATTTGCTGCGGCCTGAGCGATCCGCTATCATGTTTGTGAACGGTTATTGCACAACACCGCAGACACCAGTACCCGCGCGGCGTTGACAAGTCCGGGTGTCAGCTGCCTGGCGTTGTACCGTCTCGGCGTGGTGTGGTGCCGGAGCAGTGCTTGACGCCGCCCGCCCGGCTCCGCTGCCCGCTGCCCTGGGCCGGTCCAGTGAGACCGCCAGCGAGCGGCCGGCCTGTCCCGTCAGACAGCCGGCGCGCGGACCGGGCCGGCCGGTGCCGTGACGGTCTGGGCGCCGCAACTCGCGGACCGGGCCGGCCGGTGCCGTGACGGTCTGGGCGCCGCAGCTCGCGGGACTGCCGCGTGTCGGCTCGGACCACCTGCGCGCGCCTGACGCGATGTGTTGTTCGCACTACGGTCCGGCGCCACAGGACGTGCAGAGCCTCGCGTCGTTCGCCGCCGCCGCCGCCGCCGCCGCCAGAGGCGGGCGCTGACGGCCGCCAGCTGGGATGGAAGCAGCGTTATCGGCTTACGCTGTAGCACCCTGGGCTTCAGGTAATCATCTGAGATTGACGCACGCCGACTCCGCTGTCCGGCAGGTCGGTGGACTGCACGGTGCACGCGGAGCTGTGCTCGCGCTACAACATCGACTCGTACCCGACGGTGATCCTGTACAACGGCTCGGAGCCGCACCAGTACCGCGGCCGACACACCGCCGACGGCCTGCTCGCCTTCGTCAAGGACACCCTCAACCCAGCAGGTAACGCCACTGGCCGGCGCGAGCGGCGCCGCCGCGGCCTGGGGACGGGCGCCACGCAAAGATAGCGACATACGACGGTGTTGAGCACTTTTGAATTAATTAAGATAGCACGGGGAAACATCGGATAGCAAGGCTGGGGGCCCTCTTATCAATGCCATGGTTGAAATATTTTTTGCGAGGCTCTACGCAGTAGGCCTTTGTGAACGCAACTGGTCTCTATAATGGTTGACAAATCGTATATCAGGTCATTCTTTACCCGACCGCGCGTTACTCCACATGTGTCAAGGCGGCCAGGTGACCAAACGGCGTAGCCTGGGTCTATATGGGATGTCATTATCACATGCCAAAAGAATGTTGCCACACAAGTGCTGCATGTGGTTCAGGTAGTCCCATTGGCAGCCCCTGGCCCTGTAGTTGGCCGCATGTGTCGATGAACGGCACGGTGGTGGATGACGAGAGCAGCGCCAGTTACCAGTTAAGCGATCCTGTTTGGCAAACGTGGGATCCATTGCGCGTGCCCGGTCGGATTTCAAGTGAGAAATGCTGATAATCTTGTGCATCTATTTTTAATTCTGTCATGCTGGAGTCCGCTTCGCTTCTGTTTGCTAAGACTGGGTTTTGTACAAAGAGAGTGCGCTGGGCCATGACACACGTGCATGCGTGGCGACGGCAGTTTAACAGCCATCCGTCCGGAAGCCGGCGGCGTGTTTTGACGACGCTGTTTTATTCATGGAGTCGGGGGGACACGTGAGGGGGATGGGTTTGGTAACGCTACTGACTCTTGGAGAACCTCGGCGTGCTCCTCGCTGGGCAAGCGCCGCAAACGGTGCGAAGGAATTTCAATCAAGTCCAAAGCTTGCCGCTATTCTGTTCAAATGCTGCCTTCTCTTTTCGCCGTATCACTCAGGCAGTGCGCGTTGTTTTGGGAGTCTCTCACCAGCCCATGAGTACCGCATAATGTAGCTCAAACATGAACCGTCCTCGGTGCATAGTGCAGAATTTGTATGCAGTAATGCAGTATGTGGCAATGTGTTTGCGTAACACCGGGGTAAGGACTAGTAGCTATCAATGATAAACGTAGACTTCGTACCGGGGTCAGGGTTGATTCGCCGTCTGTTTTAGACACAGACTTAGCGCTGGGGTCAGGGCTGTTCAACGGTCAGTGTTGACACAGACTTAGTACCGGGGTCGGGGCTGTTCAACGGTTGGTGTAAGACACAGTCTTAGCAGCGGGGTCAGGGCTGTTCAGCGGTTATTGTTAGATACAGTCTTAGCAGCGGGGTCAGGGCTGTTCAGCGGTCGGTGTTAGACACTGTCTTAGCATCCGGGTCGGGGCTGTTCAACCGTCCACGCCGGCCGAGCCCTCCCCCCCCCCCCCTCCCTCCCGCGCCGGGACACGGCGGCGGGGCGGTGCGGCTGGAGTTGGCCGGCAGCCGGCCGGCGGCGCTCGAGATCGATCCCGCCCACCGCCGCCGGCCGTGACAATTATCCCGACCTGAAGCGGCGCTCAGTCACGCCGGCGGTCATTATCGCCGCCGGCGCGGCCGGGCGGCAAAACTGCGGCCCGGCCAGACTCGCGCTCCGGGTGTGGCGCTGGCGCGGCGGGCCCGCCAGCTCAACCTCTGCCGATCGGGGAGGCCCGAGGAGCGGGGCTGCCGGCGCCGGCGGGGCGCCTGCCGTGTCCCAGTGATCGCCTGTTTATGACGGACATGTGACTTGTGGATTGCTTGTACAGGACCCGTGATTTATTTATCAGGTGACTTGGTGTGCTCGAGCGTCACGCAGTCATGCTTATTGCTGTCGTAATGAGATTTCCGTGCGGTCGTAATGAGCGATACAGCTGTGGCGGAGAAGCGGGAAAGCCCGTCGAATAACGCCCCTTGTGAGCAGCTTGTCTTCGATGCTTGACGTTTGGTCGCCTTGTTTTTTGGCTGCTGGATCTGCCAGAGGTGTCACCTTATGCTTTGATCAGCGACCATGTCGTGCGAGCTGCTTTGGCGACTTCTTCTGTTCCCGTCGTGTCCGTCCTCCCACTTGGTACGAACGAAACCGTGGGCCGAGCAAGTTGCCAGGACAGTGAGAAAATTCGATCTGACTGGCGCTGTTAACCAAGCTGTTCCACGCTGTTCGGAAGCTGTTACATTAGCAGCCACTGATCGCGGCTTCATACAATTTCCGGCAGCAACAAGAGCGATTCTTGAAAGGTGTAAAGTCGAGATTGTAAGTCGTTTGCATTCAAAGTGTCCTTTCCGGCGTACTATTGCTACAACGTGGAAACAAACAAAAATGGCCTCCCATGTGATAACGTGGGCAGCGTACCTTTTCCTGATTGCGTGCAGCCGGCCACCCGCGCTTTAGCGCAAGTCATGCATTCGCCCATTTCGGGGACGTTGGAATGGTTGGTGCCATGTTTCGGCAGTAACAGTAGCTGCAAACGCGGTGCAGCTGTCCCGCGCAGACGAATCTGTCCAGAAATGGACATGCGATCCCAGCGCCCTACGACGCTAGTTGTCAACCGAACGGCACGCGTCGTCTTTTTTAGACGCGGTCTCGGATAAAGTATACTGCGACCTGAGTTGATAGAGGTTAGGCCATGCGAATTATACCGGCATGTAGCCCGGCTCATCTTGAATAATGCCCAGCCAAAACTTTAACGTTCTCGCAACGTTTTGACCCTCAGAGTCGCGGAGTCGTTAAATCATTCTGTGGAAATCGATTTCGGTGGCTGACATGTCAGGTCGTGGCCAGGCGCTCCGCCGGCCAATTTTCAAACAACGTTATTTGTGAACTAGCTCGGGAGCGTTAGCCTGCCGCACTGGTGGACGTCTTTGCCTTCTAAGCTCCCGCAACAGTCGGAAGTTGTAAACACCCAGTTGTATGCTTTTCCAAAGCGCCTGGCTTAGGTGCTGGCATCACCTCCGTGATCATGCAGTCAAGTCCGTCATTTTGCCCTCGGCCCTCCGCACAAGCTGGTCTGTCTTGTACGGACGCGGTCCGCTCCGTCTGCGTGGCGTGCCGTCTCTATCCGTCTCAGACCCCGCCCTCCGTGCCGCAGCGGTCCGTCTCGACGACGAGGCTTCCCTCGAGCGCGCCCGCCGCCGGCCGACCGGCCAGCTCTGGCTCATCGACTTCTACGCCGGCTGGTGCCAGCCCTGCCGCCAGTTCGCGCCCGAGTACCGGCGCGCCGCCCGCCTCCTCCAGCCGCTCACAGATGTCGTGGTCGCCATGGTAAGGACCCCTCCGCCGGGTCCGGATGTTTGCCGGGCAGTGTTCTCTCGTCATTCTGCCTGCCTATCAAGTCTGTCTGTCTGTCTGTCTGTCTGTCTGTCTGTCAAGTGTGGTGATGTGACGCGGGGCTTGGTGCGGAAGGTCTCCGATCTCCGATGGTCGCGTGACGTTTGACATGTACTTTTCGGTGTGCTTCTCTTGAATGGATCCTTAAGGAGCATGCATGGCACAGTAACTGGTCTTGATCTGTATATAATTTCTACACCCATCTGGGCCATTTGGGTATTTTCTTTCGCGAAATATCAGTTGTTATAATTGTGTCCATTCCAGTCATACTGGATGCGTTTCAGGTGGTGGGGGCGGCCATTGGCCAAGTTTTGACATTGCATGCGGGCGGGAGTCGCGACTGCGGTGCCAACTGTCTTTATGTCTTGTGTGCGGTGTTTGTTGTCCCAAGCCGGGGCTACTCGCCCAGCCTCGCCCCACCCCACCTCCACCTCTCCCCACCTCCACACGGGCGGGAGTCGCGACTGTGGTGCCAACTGTCTTCATGTCTTGTGTGCGGTGTTTGTTGTGCCAAGCCAGGGCTCTTCGCCCAGCCTCACCGCACCCCACCTCCACCTCTCCCCACCTCCATACGGGCGGCGGGAGTCGTGACTGTGGTGCCAACTGTCTTCATGTCTTGTGTGCGGTGTTTGTTGTCGCAAGCCAGGGCTGTTCGCCCAGCCTCGCCCCACCCCACCTCCTGTGTCCGCAGCCGTGGCCAGCCCGGTGGAGAACGGTCCCCGTTGGCGTCTCTGTGCCGTCGCCTCCGGCCATGCCGCCGCTCGCGCTGCCGCACGCTTGGCCGTGCGGTGATGACGACTCTCGGCCGTCCCCCGGGAGCCGTAATCAGCTCGTGTGTCACGTTCCCGGGGCGTTGCTCACCTCCGGTCCGGCCGGCGCTGTTTTTGCTCGGCGCGCGCGCGCGCGGCCGCCTCGACAAGCGACGTTGTTTGCAGGGAGCTGTCATTAGCCGGCGCCGCCAGCGGCAGCTCTGAATGAAATCTGCCCGACTGTCGCTCAGATAGGGTTGACGTGTGCCGCCTGGCTGCGTCGGCAAGACAAATGGTGTTAAGATGCCCTGGGGAGTGCCGATGGAGCGCAAACAGGCGGGGTATCGGCCCGCCGGCGCGCCGCCGCCGCTGCGAACGGCGGCTGGATCGCGGCCCCGAGGAGAGCCCACTCTCGGGCGTGATGGGACGGTCTCTTGGCGCCTCGGGATGACAGGCTTGGCAGGATCAAGCATCGCTCGGCGCCGCGGGCCGAGTCCTGATGAGTCCCGAGGCCTGACGCCCCCGAGTCCTGATGAGTCCTGAGTCCCGAGGCCTGATGAGTCCTGAGTCCTGACACCACGGAGGCCTGATGAGTCCTGAGTCCTGACGCCCCCGAGTCCTGATGAATCCTGAGTCCTGACGCCCCCAAGGCCTGACGAGTCCTGAGTCCTGACGCCCCCGAGTCCTGATGAGTCCTGAGCCCTGGCGCCGCCGAGGCCTGCGGCCGCCCGGCGTGTGTTCGGCAGAAGTCCGGCTGGAGGTGTGGCAGCTGTGGCGGCGGCGCGCGCGACGGCCTCACCGGTCTGCCCTGTCCGCCAGGTGGACTGTGCCGCGCACCAGGCGTTCTGCCGGGAGCAGGGCATCAAATCCTACCCCACCGTGCGCCTCTACGAACCCAAGACCGCCGGCCTGGAGCACTACAGGTGCGTTGCACTCGGGCTCATGCCCGGGGCGGCGCTCGGGCGTGCCCGGGGCAACGCTCGGGCGTGCCCGGGGCAGCGCTCGAGCGTGCCCGGGGCAGCGCTCGAGCGTGCCCGGGGCGGCGCTCGAGCGTGCCCGGGGCGGCGCTCGGGCGTGCCCGGCTCCCCCGGCTGGACAGCGCTAGTCTGGCCCGTCGCCAGCGGCATTGGCGTGGCTGGGCGCGCAGAGTGATGCACCAGCTTTGGATCTCGACTTTGCCCGCAGCCAAACAGAGGTCGCGCTCGTGCGAGATTCGATTCGTTCTTACCGGAAGGCGGCTGGTTAATTGCCGCTCTCGTGATCACGACACGGGTGGCTTGCTGTGGTGGTGTCGATAGGCGGCGAAACAAAGGCACGGGACCCTCGCGCAGTGAACACAAAGTCACGCCGGCGTCCCAGGAGACATGTGCACGCTCGCGACGCCCCGTGCGTGGAGTCTGGCCACGGCCCGACACAACATTGTGGCCCGTCGGAGCGATTGTGTTCGGGGAGGTGTATATTGTATCGTTCGCTTGTAACATGCCGTGCAGGGTTTCACTTCCCGCTGGTGAAGCGTGTGCGGTGTGGCCCGACGCGGCGCGGTGCTGACCGGCCGCGCCGCGTCCCCCGGCAGCGTGTTCTCCGGAGCCCGCGAGGCCGAGACGCTGCGCGACTGGGCCGTCGGCTTCCTGCCCGACACCGTTCACGAGCTGACTGAGGCCGAGTTCCTGCCGCGCGTGCTGGACGGCGACGGGCCGTGGCTAATCGACTTCTACACGCCCTGGTGCGGTCACTGCCACGCCTTCGCGCCCGTCTTCCAGCTCGTGGCTCAGGTGGGTGGTCTGAGTGGTGTGGAGAGGACTGTTGTTGCTTGGCCCACAAAGTGATGACGGACTTCAGTCCGAAACTCATCGCTGCGAAATGATGTATAGAATAAGGTAATGTTTTGTGTATATAAAGAATATTATATACGTTATAATGCTGCATAACGTATGTAACAAATCCAAGAGTTCTGTAGTGATGTACGCACATGAGTTATACAAAAGTACTCCTGGTTGCTAGCGAGGTCGTAATGGGCGCTGTTCTGGTGTACCGGTCTGGATACTGGCCTGGTATGGATCATCCTCTCGGGAACATTTGTTATGCCTGGGCTCAGCTGTTTGTGACGCCCGCGTTATCGGTCCCACCTGTATCGAAGAACGAAATAGTTAGCAGCTCTAGTATGGCCTGGCGGCGGGGGTAGGGGGGGGGGGGGGGCGTAGTCACGGGCCACCTGCCGGAGAGGGCGGCGGCTGCTCCGCGTAAACATCGGTCAGTGAGGTCACCTCCGGTGTCCGGCCGCCGCCGCCGCGCGCCGGCCGAGTCAGCAGCGCCGCCCCCGCGGCCGGAGTGCCGCCAGCCCTCCGCCCGGTCCCGCACGTCCCGGAGATTGCCTGCTTCGCTCGGGCGGCATCGGACCGATCACCGGTAAGGAGATGCCTCGTCGACGCGCCGTCGTCAGCCGCTCCTCCGGGACGTGCCCGGCAACACTGGCCGCCGTGGCGGAGCCCGAGCGGCTCCCATCGGCGGCGCGGAGCCCGAGCGGTCCCTCATCGGCGGCGGCTCCGAGTTTCCCTGCTCTCGGAGAGCGATGTTAACGGATTTCCCGGATGTGGCGGAAGATCGCTGGTGTAACAGTGGCAGAGCAATGCGATCGCCATTGCTTGGGGTCTTGATCAAGGCCCATGGCTGTGCCGCTGCCAGTCTCCGAAAGGTGTCTAAGAAAACAGGCACGTGCTCCGCACATGCGCATTTGGCTTTTAGATTGTCCAATGTAGCACGACTGAATGTTTTCTGAAGTTCTCTCCGTCCACAGAAATTTCGAGTGTCTGGGTCATGGTTTCCGTGGCTCGGAGGACTCCCAAGTCCAACACGCTGGCCGCGAACTCAGGACACGTTGACGCGGATCACCGTATTCGTGATTAGTGTAGGCAACCTCTGCATCAGTGAATATAGTCGCAGTTTTGTAAGTGCTCAAGCACAAAACACAACAGTTCCGTAGGCCCTCGTGATGGAATGGGGTAACTTAGCACGAGCGCCACGGGCAGGGAAGCTTGGAACTTTTGGGCCACAAAACAGCTATTCATCGAATGACGTGTTTGTCACGATCGTGCCCACCAAATTTTGTCATCGTGGCAGTGCAGTTGTAGGTTAGTCAGACGAGTGCCAGTCTTTGGCCACGCGTCACGCACGAGTCGAGTCCGTTTCCCGGCTGCTTTTGACCCGGAACTGACCACTCAGCCCGCCGCCTGGCTTCGAAGCTTATCACCGCACCAGACACGCGCATTCGCAGCGCACCAAAAATGTTGCATTCTGTGTCACGTCACGTAAGATCTGTGCGGGACGTTTCCGCAGAGCGGCTCGTTTTATGATTACATCTTCATAACTGTCGTGACAATTAGTACGCATGCAAAAACACAAGACTTTCGATTGCACGTACTACGAATGCTTCTAAGAATGGACGGTGCAAATTATCCCATTTGGAACGTGTAAACCATCCTTTATCACTCGTGGTTGGTTTTGGGTACGTAAATTGACCTCTTTATAATTGAACCTATCGCGCCAGGTATGTCTCATTACGATCAAGTCGCGGAAAAGATCCTGCACGTCGGGCAATTATACTTCGTGACGTCTCGCAGGATCTTCGCCGTGCGGATTGCCGCGAACATCTTTGTCGTTGGGTCCAACATCGGTCCACCGATCGATTCGTAACGGGCGCCGTTGTCTTGCACCGCCGAGCACTTGTCTTGCCTTGCGCCGAGCCGGCGTACCAGATCGTGACGCTCGTGCTGCGGTCTGTCAGCGCCCTTCAGACATCACGCCTCGTAGGCTTGGACACACACCACATTCCAGACATTGGATTTTGATCTTTTCCGACCGATCGTCATGCATGAAGTCTCGCTGCTCTAAAGGCTTGTACAAGGAACCCGATAGCTCTCTCGATTTGCAATTGTGCGGTTCCAGGCGCGCTTCAATGCTTCCGTTCATATAGATGTTAAATCTTCAATCGTTTGGGAGGTGCAACGCAATTTTAACGTAATCTGACCACCCATGCGATATCATACGACCGCAGCACGATCTTTCACGTAAAGTTTGTGTTTGTCTTTCGCTGTCTACCTTCGCGTAAGCCTCCGGGGAAATTCCCATATTCGCCCCGCCGACAGGTGCATCCGGCTCGCCCCCCCCCCCCCCCCCGCTCCCTCCTCGCTAGCCTGCGTGCTCCGCCGGTCGGTAACAGACACCGCCGCGGGGTGGAGCGCCAGCGTGTGGGCGCTCCGCAGGGGCCGGCGGGCGGTCGTGCCGGCGCGCGCCCTAATGCGCCGGCCGCCGGGCTCCTCGGGCGGCGCGTGACCGTGTTACCTGCCATCGGATACGGCCGGGCGATGGTCGACTGATACATAATGAACACGAGCGCGGCGCCGCCGGCGCGGTGACTGACGTGCCGGCGCCCGTGGCTGGCGGGGGGCGGGGCGCCGGGCGAGGCTCGTGCCGTGTGCGCGGTCTTGGCTGGCGCTGCTCCCGTCCGTGGCCGGGCGCAGCGGGGCGGGAGCAGCGGGAACGGCCTCTTCCGCCCCGCTGGGCGTGCACACTGCGACGGCGGCCAGAGCCGGACCGTACAGAGTCGAGACGGTGCGGGTGGTGTGCGCGCCGCCCGCGATCGGCGAGGCGGCGGCAAGGGGGTTCGTCCGCTGACCAACACGCTGAGGGCCCGCCGGTCATGGCTGTGAGGGCGCTGGCGAGGGCGACACTGACGCCGAGATCCATTGTGTGGGGTTATGAGGACATTTTCGTGGAGTGTGAAGTGTTGCAAGCTGTCCAACTATTTCAAAACGCAGTCAGATGTCAAGAGGTGGCTCTCGAGGGGGTGCCACTGCCCCATTGTCAGGCGCTAGCGCTCGTGCGAGCGGGAGGGTGGCGCCCCTCTGGAACTAGTCGCTGCTGTTTACATGACGATGTCAACACTACAGCCCCGCAAGCGTCGGCGGGTGAAAACGAAGCAGCTGTGTCGCATTCAGACCACGAACCGTCCGTCAAAGCTGACTGCTTCACATAAAGAGGCCATCTGATGCATAAAGGCTATCCTCCGGTTTGCCTTATCGCAGTTTCAGCCGTTGTGGCGCCCTGGCTCCTGGGATGTCGCCGCGGCGGTGGTGGTCTCTGGTCCCGCTGTTCCGGCGGTCCCGCGGTCCCGACTCGCCGCTGCGCGGTCCCCGCCGTGTGAGCGCCGCCGTCGGCGGGGTTGGCGCGGGCGCTCCCTCCCGTGCCCGGCGACGGACGGCGGAGCTAATTGCCAGGCGACGCCGGACGTCGAGGGTCGCCGTCGATCGACCCCTCACCAGCGGCGGCGACGGCGGCGGCCGGTCCAGCAGCGCCCGGCGTCTCAAGCGGACGGGCACTGGCCGGCGGGGGGACGGCTGGTCGGACGATGTTGCTGGCGGTCCTGCTGTGTCGCTTCCGGCGCCCTCTGGTATCTCGAGGACGGAAGGCGTCGAGAGGTGCGGCGTGTGTGCTTGTGTGTGTGGGGGGGGGGGGGGGGAAGGGGTGGAGCGACCAGTCATGAGGGAATATCGTAATATATGTCGCCTGAAGAACGGTTTTAAGTGACATGCAACACCGATGTACATTTGTCTTGGTTAATCGGTAACCCAACAGTTAAGGGCGACCGTAAAATTTGCTGCTAATCGGTAAAATGCAGGAAAACGGCACTTCGCTCGCCGGGTTTTCTGTGTAGATTGAGTGCTGTTTGAAATTCACGCGTGTTCCGACACCCGTGTCTGTCTGGCCTGCTGCCTCGCCTTTTGACAGCTGCTCGGATCCGTGGGGCGTAGTTCTGCCGACTCGTTGTATGCTGGTGGGTGGCCTTTGTGGCGGTGCTCTATCGGCGGCATCCATTGCTGCCACAGAGGAAAGATTGGAAAAGACGACGTGATTTGTGTTTTTGGCAGGGTGGGTCGTGCCATTGATTGCAGTCAGTTGAAGACAATGCAGCAGTGGGCCGACGTGTCAGCTGATGCTTCAGAAGCGCTTATGGCGATCGTGAGAGCTTAAAGCCAGGCTCACCGAGAGTTAGCCTTTGACTCGGTCCCCGTTCGCCCCTGCTTTGAAACCTCGGGGCATCGTCAATTTTTGTCCGAATGCGACAAGGTGTACAAAGCTCAACAACGCTGTTCAATAGTCCAAATTACTTGGTAATGCCTGGCTGTGGTCCCAGGGTCCCGTAGACTTCTTCAGTACAATGCGACAAACGATATGGAGAGACTTACGGTTATACACACACCGTTCTTGAGCATCCGCTTGGGTTGGGGGTGGGCAATTTGACCCCCGAAAGTTTTAAAAAAGCTTATTTTGGTACGTCGCTGCGTAGCCGCGCCGAGCTTTGCATCTGTAAGCAATTGAATAGCGTGTCTTTTGAAACACGAAATAATATGTGCCTTGTAAGGCGGCTGAGCTATGGCAGGTCGAAGTCAGGCCGTGGCTGTCAACGAAAGCAGTTTCTAGGGAATCGTTCAGTATGATGCGACAATGGCGTGGTAGACAAAGCCATGCATATGTGAGATGCTTCTAAGGTAATAAAACAATTTAATTTAGGGTTACAGCAAATTCTTTTGACCTAGGGCCAGGCATGAATGTCAGGCCGCTGTCAAAACCAGCCTGCTGCTTGCTTGCAACTGGAGAGCTTGCTTTTTGGGGTAGTTTCTGATGCCCATTTCGGATTTAGTGATAACAGTGACCGCAACAAACATCAACACAAGATGCATCAACCATCAACACAAGATACGTCAACCTATTCGTTTCACTGACCTAAAATGACCGCGATCATCCCCTTGTTTTTCGGGACGTACCGCCCAGCGTAATCCTTGCCACCTATTCAAATAAAAAGATCAAACCAATCTCGTGGGTTTCTGGTCACCATGACCTTCTATAAGTCAAACAAGGTCACTGTCCTAGAATAAACACCAGTGACCTTTCGCTTAGGACAGGTACCTAGGTTTAAGGTGATTGGATGAGAAGATCTGGGGGCTTTGCACACCAATTTTGAGTTTGATCTAGTTTGATCTTATTTGACCTGAGGGTCACAACCTATGGATCTCACAATTTGCTGCCAGTGAGTTTACGTACAGACAAACCCACCCTGTGACTTTGTTTCTGAGATATCGGTGGTCAACTTGACCCCCTGCGCTCGCGGGGGTACTCAACCGGCCGCCCGGGCGCCTGTTACCCACCGCTGCCCCGGGCGCCTGTTACCCACCCAGCGCTGCCCCGGGCGCCTGTTACCCACCCAGCGCTGCCCCGGGCGCCTGTTACCCACTGCTGCATCCTGTGTATGATGCTGGGAGCGGGAGCAGGGTTAAATCTGCAGCGCTGGGCCGTTCATTGCGTCGATCAATTCGTCACATTGCTGGCAGGCTTCTTTCTTCGCAGTGTTTGTTCTCCGCTGCCGCTCAAACTGTTGTGGTGGGCCCTGAGGCGTTCAGAATGTCTGGGCTGAGAGTCTCTCCAGCTACTGAGTCTGCTTCTTTTGCTCCGAAGAGATGCCTGCTGTGCACCATGCTGTTGAGCACATTAATCTTCCGAACGGATGTAGTGCGAGACCTCGGCACCGACCATGTCACCCTACAGTTACTTCAACGTGGCTCCCAGCACATCCTGGCCAATGACTCGTGTAACGCGGAGTACTACTCCGTCGTTATGTTTTTGGGGCTGGGTCAGCAACTGCTGGGCTGATGAGGCATCATTACCGCTGGCATTGCACTCCTGAGTTGTGTTTACCGAGCTTCAGCTTAGTCGTTTTGGATCAATCGTGGGACGGAGATATGTCAGGCAGGCTGATGGCCGCCCCCACGTGACAAGCACCGGCCCGATGCGGCCACTGCGCCGAACGTCATGCACTCAGTCGTTGACTGTGAACTGCGCCGCTGTCTTGCTATCGTCTCTCAGGTGGTCAGACGTGTTTCGTGCGTTTTTGCTAGCATACGCTTGGCTTAGATGCAGAAACCCTTCACGACTGTACTTTGGAAACGTAACACTGCACTGTAGAGCAGTGAATAAAGAAACGGCTGACGGACGCAGGCATGCCTTAGATGCCACCAGGCGTATCAATGTCCATCAACTACACCATGAGCGTGACGATCAAAATGTTCCCCCTCATCCTCAACAGCGCTAATGCTACACGCGTACTCTTCAACGCGTGTTGACGGGCCCGCTAAATCCCCATTGGCACGGCGCGAGCGGGCGCGTCCCAGCTGGGGTCGCCGGGCGGGCCGGGCGGCTGCTCGCGGTCGGCCAGTCACGTCTGCCGGCCGATATCGGCTGCACGTGCCCCGGCCCGTCCGGTCGGCCTTATTGCCTCGGCGGCGGCGGCGGCGGCGGCGGCGGCGGCGGCCCCCGGCCGGTTAAGCCGCCGCCGCCGCCGCTCGTGATGGCGTCAAGCCTGCTGTACGGCGCTGGTGGGGATAGAGGTTGGGATGTTTAGGAATTGCGTGTGTTACTGTGACGCAGTTTACGCTTCACATAGCAGTGTTCAAAAGCCGTTCCATGTCAAAAGCACACAGCAATTATTTCAGGTTTTTTTAAGAATTGTATGGAGTCAGCTAATTTGTTCGACTCTGTTTTCCCCTTTGCCCCATTTTCTGCAGTAAGTCTGTCTTGGCAAGATTTTCTCTCTCTCTCTCCCTCTCTCGATGGATGCCTTCATTGCCGTTTCTTGTACGTCACTCTCGATGGTGTTTCTCCATCACCATCACTATCCGCAGTGACTCGTGTCCTGCTCCGCCGGCTCGCTCCTGACGATCGGTGTGCTCTTGTACCGTCCGTCGGCACTGAGTCAGCCGGCCGGGCCGAGAGGGCCGCCGCCTGCAGCGTCGGCATCATGTGCACAGTCATGCGCGCGCACGCCAACAAATCATATTTGATGCCATGCAACCGCACACCGACAAACAACCCCGCTGCCGACCGCGCCCGGCTCTGCGCGCCGGGTCAGTCTTCTCCCGAAAGCCGCCGTGTTAATTGCAGTGACTGCAGATCTCCCCGTCTGCCTCAAAACAAACAGTAATACGAAGTAGGCCATCTTTGGGAAAATACGCACGATCCGTACCGAATCGCCGTAATAGAGTAGTAGCGCGTGGGCGCACGACCACTCCCTCCGGTATCCTCCTCGCTCTCTTCGCCGCCCTGGGCACTCTCTGGCCGCTCTCGCCCACTCTGTAAGCCACTCGGCTCCATGGGGCCATCATCAGCTGACTGAGATCGCTGTCAATTACAGCTCCCATCGCGAGGTGGCGTTCTGTTCGATTTACGGCCTGTATCGGTCAGCTTCGCCCATCCTGTGACAATAACGGGATCGTTTCTGACCACCGGCCGTCGGCGGCCGTCTGTGTGATCGACGCCGGCCCGTGGCCCGCATCTCAAATGGCGTTTTCACGAGCTGGAGCGTCGCTTCAATGGCTGACTTCGCCGCTAGGCACCTCCGCGTGGGATCCCCAGCGGCCGCGCGCGGAGGCGAAGCGGGCAGTGGCGTCTCCGGGCAGCGGCGGCGCGTCCCTCTGTGGCCGCCCGACCGCGTCGTCACAGCTGGTGACACGCGCGGGTCGGGACATGGTCGCGGACGGTGGCCGTCTCTGCGATGGCGCGGGTTGGGACATAGTCGCGGACGGCAGCCGTCGCTGCGATGCGCGCGCGACATCTGGTCGTCCACCGCGCTGAGCGCCGGAGCAGCGCGGCCACCGGCTGCCGGCCTGAACTGGGCTGACCAGACCTGAGCTGGGCTGGCCAAGCCTGAACTGGGCTGGCCAGACCTGAGCTGGGCTGACCAGACCTGAGCTGGGCTGGCCAGGCCTGAGCTGGGCTGACCAGACCTGAGCTGGGCTGGCCAGGCCTGAGCTGGGCTGACCAGACCTGAGCTGGGCTGACCAGACCTGAGCTGGGCTGGGCTGGCCAGGCCTGAGCTGGGCTGGCCAGACCTGAGCTGGGCTGACCAGACCTGAGCTGGGCTGACCAGACCTGAGCTGGGCTGAGCTGGCCAGGCCTGAGCTGGGCTGGCCAGACCTGAGCTGGGCTGACCGGACCTGAGCTGGGCTGGCCAGGCCTGAACTGGGCTGACCAGACCTGAGCTGGGCTGGCCAGGCCTGAGCTGGGCTGACCAGACCTGAGCTGGGCTGGCCAGGCCTGAGCTGGGCTGACCAGACCTGAACTGGGCTGACCAGACCTGAGCTGGGCTGGCCAGACCTGAGCTGGGCTGGCCAGGACGCTGGCGGCGCGGCGCGCTGGAAGCCGGACCGGCGCGGCCACCGGCTGCCGGCCTGAGCTGGGCTGACCAGACCTGAGCTGGGCTGGTCGGGACGCTGGCGGCGCGGCGCGCTGGAAGCCGGACCGGCGCGGCCACCGGCTGTTTGGCCGGACGGCCAGCGTTGTTTTGATTGGATGAGCGGCCGCCGGTCACGCCCGAGGTCACCGGCCGGCGCTGTCTGATCCCGGTTATTGGGGCTGGCGGCCGCTGACCACTCCTGTCGCGGAGGATTCAGTTACAGTTGCCGGTCGGTCTGGTGCCAGCTTTCAGTTGCGAGTCCAGTCTTCCGCTTCTTCTATGTGACGCCAAGCCCGTTGGATACTGCGATCTATGACGTCTCCTTCAACTAGTCTAAGGCTTGATTCGTTGCATTAGTTTGAGTCGCTGGGGCTTTACGACGCACTCAGCTGCCGAGGCTGTGTGGCGTCGCCTGCCTCTCACCCTGGCAGGAAGGGCGGGCACCATGGGGAATCGAACCCCGTACCTCTGGTTTCCCAAACATGCAATGGTTAACGCATTCATCGCATTAGGCCCTCAACCTGCAATTGGTGCCGATCGGCAGCATCGTATTTTTATGACAGGCTTATGTCGTTCGGACCCAAGGCGACAGGTGCCGTGGATTAAGGCGGTGTCTCACTCATCCGCCTACTGTAAAGGTAATATGAGATCGAGTTTCGGACTCCGAGAACAACCTCCCAGGGAAGATAAAACAGATATGAAAACTTGGATCCTAGCTCTTTGTGTGGCTCTGCAGCGGATATGTCCTCTCTGTGTCTCAGCTATGTGCTAGCTGGCAACCCATGTAATTGTCTGCCTTTTATGCCATCAGGAACGGAACGCGCAGCCCACAGTGCAAATGAACGAACTGTACTTGGTGCAGGATCCCTTGACCCGCCGTCCGTGCCGGCGGTGTCTGGGGAGTGAACTGACCGCCGTCCGTCCGTGCCGGCAGTGTCTGGGGAGTGAACTGACCGCCGGCCGTCCGTGCCGGCAGTGTCTGGGGAGGGAACTGACCGCCGTCCGTCCGTGTCGGCAGTTTCTGGAGGGCGAGGTGCGCTGCGGCCGGCTCGACTGCCAGCGGTTCCCACGCACGTGCAGGGACGCCGGCGTGTCGGCCTACCCGACGGTGCGGCTGTACCCGGGCCGCGGCCGGCTCGACATGGTCGGCACGCACGTGCGCAGCCAGGAGCCGGAGGACATCGTGACATTCGTGCGGCAGCGGCTGGCCGACGACCGGCGGCCGCGGGACGAGCTCTGACCGAGCTGGCCGCCGCGTGACGAGCTCTGACCGGGCCGGCGCGGCTTGGTCTGACGGGGTCTGGCCTGGACGAGCTCTGACCGAACTGGCCGCCGCAAGACGAGCTCTGACTAAGCCGGCCGCGGCGGGAAGAGTTCTGACCGGGCCGGCCTCCAGCTCAGCCCAGGTCGCTCAGAGTCAGTGACCGGTACCTGGTGCAGCGGCCACCCAACGCGGCGTAGGTGGCATTGTGTTCAGTGTTCAGCGTTGTATTTTTATGCCACGTACTTGTGTGAGTCTACTAGGAAGTGTCTTTTGAGGGGTCCTAACGAGCGACTCAGCCACAGACAGCGGGGCCCCTGGTCTATTCCCGGTTTTGGCGCGGCGTGCGCTGCTCACCGATCTGGCATCTAACCTGAGATCATCACTGGATCTGCTTCCGGACTTGTAATGTTCTGCATGCTGTCTCCCAGCTCCGTAAGATCTGACGTATGACTCTCAATTCGCGAGATGTGTGTTATTAGCTGCAGAACTGAGTGGGACGGGAAACTTTAACTCTCGAGCTTAACATGGTGGGTGGTTTAGTCGGGCAACGTAAGCACACAGTTTGGCACATCATGATGCTCTGTCCCTGGACTGAAGAGTACACGGAGTGTCCGGGGCCTAGCACGTTCTGGTGTCTGCAGCAGTGTTGGGCCAACCAGCTTGGTGCGGAAAGACTGGAAGTATGTGGCAGCAGTGTCAATCCCGTGCGTTGAACACTGCCGTATCATGGACGTGTCGTGCACTCTGCCGTCTGTGATATTAATTGTAGTGGCGCACAACGTTGCTGCCGACTCCCAGCCTTTGATGTAACAGGTATTGGGACAAACACCAGGCGGTCACTCAACGTACCTAGCTTTCTTCGCTACTTAAGCACGGGCTCAAGCTGTTGTATGGCCTTAACATATCCCCCTGCATTGGGAAGACGTCGTGTTATGTTTCGCCATCCTCTTCAGCTCTACGTTGAAATCTCATCGTCCGGAACATTCAGTCGCTGCGCTCGCAGTGTTCCGTCTGAGTCGTGGTATTCAGAAGTGCATACACCCCTCTGCTAGACAATACCTGCAAGGTGACCTCCATTTCCGTGCAGCGCGATGTTTGTGTGACTTATCATGCAGCCAAACCTAATGATGTCATTTGCACACTTTCCTGTCATCAGTTTTTTATCGCTTCATTAGGTTTGCGGTGCTCGAACTGTAATGACATCGATCAAGACCGATAATTTTACCGAATTCGGTAAAGCGAGTTTCTGCCACATGCAAACGCGGCGCTGTGATGTGTGATGTCGTTCGCTTCAGAATGGATTTGATTACCTGACGCGTCACCTCCCGGAACTCTGTCGCGGACTCGAAATCAAGAATGTTGCGTTGAGGCGTTGGCGTCGAAGTTGCGATGCCGTAAACCAGGTTGTTAGTGCGATCAAAAACTTCTTTAGCGAAATTGTTTTCGGCGGACCCGTCCGGTGCAAAGTTCAAGCATACTCATTCCGAAAATAAGAGGTGTCGATACCTGCTCGCTCGTCGACGAAATACAAGTCATTCCTAATGCTACCACGCTGATACCGCAGGCCACCGCCTGTGGGGGGCGCCTCAGGTACGAGGCAGCCCTCGTAGAGCAGCGAGCGGGGATGCGCAGGGAGGGGGAGAGGCATACCGTCGGCGGCGGCCGGCCATGAACTAGACCGGCGCACTCGGCCACTGCCACCGCAGCAGCGACCACTCGGCGCCCCCGCTGGCGGCCGGCTGACGGCTCACGCTCCGGGGGCCGTCTCCCGCGCCTCGGGCTGAGCGCGCCTCACTGAGAGCGCAGGGGGCTCGGCGCCGGGCGCCGTCCTCCCCGGCCGGAGACGTCCTGATATTGGACCGATGTCATGGCGACACGGTCGCCTGTCGCGGCGATCGCGAGCTGCCAGGGCGTCCACCTGTCTGGCCAGCAGCGCCGCCGCCCGGGCCTGACCCGGTGCGATCGGCTGGCAGAGCACTCCGTTCATTGGATAAATCCGTAGGTAGCAGGTGGATTGATTGAAAGCGTGGGTTGGATTGGGTCGGAAGCGGAAAATCCAGTAACACATGGGTTGGGACCGGACCGGGTGTTAGGATGAGCAAGCTGAAAATCAGTCAAATTTCAAAACACCGTCTAAATTTAGTCTATGACAAAACTACTCCGACGGCCGCGAAGACAGGACCTACGTGAGCCACACACAGCCATGCGAATGTCTTCGAAAAACACGTGGTTATCATCGCTGAGCCAGGCAGCCGCTGCGTGACTCACTTCACGTCCGAGTCCGGCCGCGTCCTGTACTTGCTCGACGAGCTGCACTCCGCGAGCCTGCAGTGCGACGGTCACGCCAATGTGCTCGGCTGCGACGGCGCGGCCGTCAACACTGGGACGACAGGCGGCGTGTTCCGGCTGTTTGAGCTGGCCACCGAGTCGTCCTTACACTGGTTCATCTGCCAGCTGCACGGCAACAAGATCAACCTCCGCCATCTGCTGCTGAGCCTGGACGACACGACCCGAGACCGAAATCTTTTTCTGGACCCATCGGCAAGACCTGCGCCGGAGAGGCCTGGGAGAGAGGAGTTGTGGCATTCGGGCCTATGCCGTGGCACGTGCCGAACCTGCCGTTCACCTGACCCTGCAGCTGAGCACCGACTAGCAGCTACTGCACCTGCTGGCCTCCGGCGTTCAAAACGGCTCCGACCGGACCGCGACAGCCCGGCGTCGGACCGGACCATCGAACCATGCCAGGCAAACATAAAGGCGCATTATCTTCGAGTTATGGCCAAGAATATTTCAACTTTATCACGTATAATTTAGCAATTCATGTGCTCACTGTTGAGCATTTACTCCTAATCATACGTTGTGCCATAGTATGTCGAATCATTTGCTCGTCGTTGCATGCTTCCTAGTGTATTTGCTGTTTGAATTCCGTTACATCTAAGGACTCTGAACATCGGCATAATTACATGCACTTAAGGGACGCAATAATTTTGGTATGACAGAATGCTCAGTTCGCAACGAATTGTAATATATTCACTTCTATTTCAGATCGTTGACACTGACCTCTCGCCCGCTCCTAGCTTACATATCTACCGATACCTCCAGCAGCGCTCTCAAGGACCTCGTTCAGTACGTGGCTGGTTGTGTGGTTGTGTGTGGTTTGTGCCGATGTGGTTTCCAGTCCGGCAGAACAGCAACCGCGACTTTGGTTCACGCAACTTGTTCTGGAGCATCACCAGTCCGCTGGCCATGGTGGTGGACGAGAACCGTGTGGTCCGCGAATAGGCGACCCCGATCATCGCGCCGCGCGTGTGCGGCAAGCCGAGGGTCCTCTTCATCCCAGGGTCTTCGTCATCCCAGCGATAAGCTGCGAGGCCGTAAGGTACATCGAACTGATCTCCTAGTGTGGGCCAGTCACACAGCCTCCACTGCAAGGCGTTAGCGACGGCGAGCTGCTCATACAATCCCCTCCACGCCCTTGGTGCAGACTATAGGCCTTGCCATGTGCCTATGTGTCATGTATGCCTATGTCATATGTACAAGTTGTACACCGGGTAATATATTCTGGGTCTTATGATATACATGGCTTTGTTTTCAGCACGTGAGTTGCCTCAGAGGAATGAAAGGCTAAAGCAGTACTAACCGACGTACTCGCACATTGTTCATATTGAATAACGCATGAAGTTCCTGTCATATGACAATCAATCGGGCAATGCCTGATTTGCATATTTGACCTTAGACCGGGATATTTTTACGACGGCTTAAGAAGCGCTTGGTGACATTGTTTCCACACGCAAGGCTATTTTGAATCGCTTGCCGCCCACGGCTCGGTGTTACCTGCGGCAGACAACGCCTCCCAGCATACGGTGACTACAACGCCGGGCGCCGGTTTACGGCGACACTTCGATCGGCTCGCGCGTCACGAATTTAAGTTTTTGAGGAGAACGTTTGCTACGACGTGTACTTGTGGGCTCTGGTGCCGAGTAATTTCTTTGTCTCACTTGGCTTGGTCACTGATGACACACTTTATTGACCATGATGAGACTTCTTATCAGAATGGATTAATTCATTTTCCTAGTCCTGTGCTCTGTAGATGACTGTAAGCTTTTGAAAGCTAAAAGGGGGCATAGGATTCGTACCTCTCTGAATGTCAACCTGAGTGTCTTTTGCTAAAAATGGTCGCCGAAAGGGATTTTCTCTGTTTTGTTGTTAGCGTTTAGCAGGTGTTCATTATATCTCCAAGGAATTGGGCGCACGGACTCCCGGCATGGACCTCCCATGTTACATTTTCGCACAGTTACCACTAGGTTCGTAACCCACGGTTTTTTGCGTACAGGCCTTTTGAAACCTCGACTTACATAAATGGCGCCTGTTGTCTTCCGGGTACTTTGGCTTCGGGATGAAACATTTCACCGGACACTTTTCCATGTTATCGTCGTTCTTTCACGCTATACGTAGGCACAGCTTCGATTTTCTAACCATACGTTTGATTTTCCAAAGCAAGTGCTCATCTATGTAAGGTGCTATTAAGAATCAGTCGTCCGACAGGACGTTTGCCCGTTTCCTATCATCCATCCCCCCCCCCCCCCGCCCAAGTGGTCTAGATTTGTTGACCTCTTCCAGCATTCTACCTAAATGTCTTAGAGAGTGTCCGTTACCCAACAGCAAAGCCCATATTTTGTTCATGCTCCTTCTTTCTTTTTCACTACTTGGTGCTAGGTGTTTACAGCCTATGGGACATGTTTCGAATTACATTGCGCCTAGTCAAAGTTGGATGCGCAGACTCGCAGTGTAGAGTTATACCAGAGGTGGTGGGCTTGATCGATTGAGAGCCCCGTTTGTAACGTCGTCCAACTGTTTCTCCTTTCTGCAGTCATTAGTGTGCCCAAATATGGGAACCCCTTTCTGTCCCCTGTGTGCTTCATGGTAATGGCTAAACTGATATGCTGATTGTTCATGAACTTTAAAAATGTATGAAGGGCACGCTGTCCGTATGTAGATACTCCAGCATAATCATCGATACATCCAACTGAGCGACGTGGTTTAAATGGGCTGGCAGTCAGGGTCTTTGCTTCACATTGGTCTTAAAATATGATCGCCTTGGGAGAGGTACATGGATCAAAACGAAAGCTAGAAGTAAACTCAAAATTGCCTGCCGATCCTTCTGGGGTTTTCAGGTTTTTAACAGTAAGTTACGGCTTTTACCAATCACCGACATTCAGGGGATTAAACGAAGAGCAATTTTCAGCCATTAGTACATCATTACCACGATTCAGCGTGTATGTAACTAAGAATCAAAACACACGAAAATTCGTGTTGGACGAATTCAAGTAGACAGGCATCACGTATCACGCATCATTAATATATGTAAACGGTTTCAAGTAAAGAGGCGTCACGCATCACGCATCACTTGCCCCTTGTGTTTTTTTGCCCCTTCCATGTTTTTCCCATATGATAATTTTGGTAAGGAGGAACAACCGCACAATGTCAGGGACGGAGCTCTTTATCAAGCCCAGCAACTCTGGCACAATTGTGGACTGCGAATCTGCGCATCCAACTTCCACCTAGCGCAATAAAATTCTAACATGTTCAAAAGGGCTCTTGGGAACTCATCTAGTAATGGCAAAGAAAGAAAGAGCATACACAAAATATAGGCTTTGCTCGTGGGCAATGGATATTCTCCACGGCAATGGATATTCTCTTAAGGCAGAATGTTGGATGAGGTAAAACAATATGCAACACGTGGGGGATCCATGGTAGAAAACGAGCATGTGCCCTGCCGGACGACGGATTCTTAATACTACCTTACATAAATGAGCACTTGGTTTGGAAAATTGAACATATCGTTAGAAAATCAAATCTGCGAGTGCGCGTAGCTTCGAGGAATGATGATAACATAACAAAGCGTCTGGGGAAATCTCCGATCTCGAAGCTCGAGAGCCTGGGAGGCAATAGGTGTTCTCTATGCAAATCTGGGTTTCAAGTGGTTGGTACGAAAAAAGATGGTTTACGAAGCTAAGTGTAGACTGTGTGGAAAACATGGGGGGGGGGCATAGTCAATGCCGGGGAATTCATACGTGCTATTCGTTTAAGACATAATGAACACCAGAACAAAGAATACCCCTTCCGGCGGCCTTTTTTGACAAAACACACTCAAGTTGAGATCCAGGGAGGTACGGACCCCCTAACCCCTTTTAGAACTCAAAGTCATCTACAGAGCACAGGAGGACCATCTAAACAGGAAAATCAATCAATGAATTCTTATAAGAAGTCGGCGACTGGACCTTAATGTACAGAGCTCATCATGGCTGACTATGCAAATGTGATTAGTGTCTTCATGTGTGATGTGCGCGGGCTTAAAACCATTTACATGCATAAGCGATGCCTGCCGCGTGATGCGCAATGCCTTTGTAATTGAAATCGTTTGCATGGATAAGTGTTACGTGATGTTTGAAGCGCAATGCCTGTTAACTTTAAATCGTTTGCACGCATGAAAAAATGTGTGATGTGTGATGCTTTTCACTTGCATTTGTTTGCACGTG